TAAATGAAATAGACTTTTGATTTATCAAAATTTTAAAGAAAAAATAGATATGTTTTTAATTTGTGAATAAATTTATCAATTTAAAAAATTTTAGTTTTTTAGCTCGAATTATTTAGGTGCAAATAATAATTTGTTTTGATAATTTATTAAATTGACTTAAATATAACTAAGCCCGCATGTGCGGGCAAAACACCTAGTTGAAATAAGACAAAACAAAAAGTGGTAACATGAAGATTCTAAACCACCGTATTACCAGTTAGGTCTGGTTTAGAATCTTCATGTTACCTTGTTTTGTCATATTTGTTTAGAATCTAAACCACTTTTTGTTTTGTCATATCTGTTTAGAATCTAAACAAAAAAGTGCCAAATTTACAGTCTCCTGTCTTCACGTAGAATTGGCATTCTGGTTGTCCCGGTCTCTCCAGGAAAACATTATCCCTCGGCAACGTATAGATCCCTCCAGATGAGCCTGACTCGTTTTGCTGCAAGTTTCTGTAGTTGTTGTGATCATTTCCGGTACCTGAAGGAGAAACTGAGCTGAACTGACCCTAACGAAATGGAAACAAGTTCAGTTTGAAACAAAAAGAATCAGATGAGCAGTGTTGTTTTGGACACAACTTACGGTTGTAAGGGTTCCATCCTTGAAGGGGTACAACTCCTTGGGGCATAATCAATGGTGTGTAGCCAGAGGGATCTTGCCATCGAGGGCTTGGAATAAAAGATGCTCTTGACCAAGGATAAGACTGTTGTTGGCCTGAAGTAGGAACCATGACGTTGGTTGTTGGTTGAGGCCGAGGATGGTTGAATTTACAAGTGGCCTCAAATTTACAGTGTCCGGTTCTAATAAAATAAGCACAATCAACTTCATTCTGCATGTTATTTAACACCATTGAATATTATGAAACAATGCAAAGTGTGATGATGAAATAAAAAAAATATAAAAAAAGAAAAACTTACGCCTAATATTGAGTGAGACTTGTCCAGCAATTCCAGCTTTGTTCCTAGGATGATCAAACTTGCATGTTACTCCAAACTTGTATGTTCCTGTCTTCAAATAGTACTAAGCAACCCCAAAACATAAGTTAGTCTGTGCAATGTACTCAAGTGGATACTAAAGATTGAGAAAACGCTAATCTACAATGGAAACAAAGTTTTTTCACTATGCAACAGAGTAAGAGTATTCATATAACCTCGCATTCAGGCTGACCAATTCTTTCAGGGTATTCTCCTCTCATCCTTGCAGTGGCTATAACCTATAAGAGAGTGAGATATCAAAAACACTCTCAAATGCTTCCAACTTTGAAGCCAACCAAAGATTTATTGATAACTGTTTATGTAAGTACGAAAACAGAAACAACCCTACCGTACGCATGTTTTGTGTTCGTTTAGACAAAAAAAAATGTTTTGTGTTCGTGTGTGTCAAAAAAATAATTTATTTATCTTTCCCACCGAAATTGGTCGGTTGAGAACGCGTCAAAATTTTATTGTTTGTATACAATTATTTGTCTTTTCGATATGGCTAATTCGTCTACATGAAATTAAATATTCTTAAAATTAAAAAAAAAAAATTATATATTGAAATTTAAATTGAATGTAAAATATACAACCGACATCCAAAGCTGTAGCTAGCTAGTAATAGTAATAATATAGCTAAGCTGGTTCGATACTTTTGATTCGGCTCTTTCGAGAGCCTTTTAGCCTATTGGATTCCACTAGTAGTCTCTGTTCTTTTGATCCTGAACTCTCCTTTGGTTTCAAAGCCTATTAGCTTCTCTTTGCTTTTATATCAGTTCACTGATTAACTCAGCTTGCGACCCTTTCTCTTGTTAGTTCATTTTATAATCCGAAAGGATAATAGCACATAAGTTTTGTGCAAGTGCACCAAAGTTTTAATGCAAACTCGTTGAGTGAAGCAGAACCTCTAAGTAAAGCATGCTAAGGAAGTAGAATATCATATACTAAAACAGGCTAACACATTCTCAAATTCTAGTACTTGGAGCTCAACATACCAAATAAGGAAACTCCCAATATAACTCTGATTTCTGTAATCTTTGACTACCACTGGTTGATACATTCATTTTCCAGCCTCCCGAATTCATAGATTCACAGTTGACATTGAGTATATTCAAGGTGCATGAAAGACATTTACAAAATCAGAAATTGGGGGCTTGTTTTACAAGTCGAACGAATTTGATTTTACATTAGTCCACAAATAGTTTATATTAGTCCATCATTTAAGGCAGATTTTCTGAAATATCAATTTTTAGCTGGATAATCGTCTATCTAATATATTCAAAAAGCTATTCTATTTTTAACTAGATAATCTATCTAAACTATGAAAAAGATTAATCCATTTTTAGCGGGATCATCTATCATTTTTTTTTCTTCTAATTTTGATAAAAAAAAGGATCTTTACATTAAAGCGTTACTATTTTTTACAGCTACATAATTAGATATTACAGATAGCAAAAGAAGAATGATGGTTCTCCATATTTTTGGGAGAGGTTTAAAATTTTGAGAGAAGACATTATTCTTCATCGATTTCTGGTGGCTTGAATTTGTCTGCTTTTTCTTATTCTTCCACCTCTCTTGCTCTTTTCATTTTTCTTCGTGTGTTTCTCTCCTCCGCGTCGGTCCTTCAACCTTCATGAAGGACCCGACCTATCCCTAAAAATCTAACCAAACAAAAGTTTATTTCTCTTAATTAAGTTCTTTGATTTGTATCATCACCATGCACTGTTTCCCGTGTTTCTCTACGCCAAAGGGTAAAAAATCTTCAAGTTCGAATGAGGCTAACGAAAACGAAGTCAAATTGAATGGTACGCACGTCCATAATGTTGGTTTCTTTCTGTGTTCCGTGGTTGATACGTTAGGTTATAAAACTTGTTACGTTTTTGTTTGTTTGTTAAAGAGAGGAGACAACCAGATGAAGCAGAGCAATCAGAAGAAACAACGTTGAAGATATTCACGTTCCGGGAATTAGCAACGGCGACAAAGAATTTCCGGCAAGAATGTTTGTTAGGAGAAGGTGGATTCGGTAGGGTTTACAAAGGAACTCTAAAATCTACTGGCCAGGTTTGATACTTAAAGTTTATAATTGACAACCATAGAAATACGTACATATAAACTATACATGATCTCTATCAGGGAAGGTCTTAAAATTTTAAGGATTATAACCAAAATATTAAAATATTTTTTTTTAAATAACCAATTTTTGGATGTCTATATTATTATATTATCTCTTAAATTTTGGTAGTCATATACCAATAGTTTACTTGCATATATTCTCAAGACCGGTCATAATCACCATAATTAGTATTTCCTCTATTTCAGTATAATACATGTTTTAGAGAAAAATCTTGTTTTGAAAAGACTCATATTTCATATTTTCAATGTATCAGTTAATGTTAAATTGTAAAGTTCAAAACTATTATTAATTTTCGATTGGGTAAAAATTATAGGGGATAGTATATTACAAAAAATAATTGGTAATTTAAAATTCATAAATTTTCTTAATATATGTGAAAAGCTAAAATATACATCATATTGAAATAGAGAGAGTAATAATATGTATTGTTTTGGGGAATGTGTAGGTGGTGGCTGTAAAGCAACTAGACAAGCATGGATTACATGGGAACAAAGAGTTTCAAGCTGAGGTTGTGTCATTAGGTCACCTTGACCATCCCAATCTTGTTAAGCTTGTAGGTTACTGTGCCGATGGAGATCAAAGGCTTTTGGTATACGATTATATCTCTAAAGGTTCCCTTCAAGAACATCTTCAAGGTATATATGTATAGAGAGTTTCTTGTTCTACACGTTTTTAACTTTTAAAAAGGACAATCTGAGATTTTTTGTATGTTTTGGTTTTGTAGAGCCGAAACAAGACCAAGAACCAATGGATTGGACAATGAGGATGCAGATAGCATATGGTGCAGCACAGGGACTTGAATACTTGCACGAAAAAGTGAATCCACCAGTGATATACCGTGATTTGAAAGCTTCAAACATTTTGTTGGACGATGACTTGTGTCCCAAGCTTTGTGACTTTGGCTTGCATAAGCTAGGACCAGGGACAGGTGATAAGATGATGGCTTTATCTTCTCGTGTAATGGGAACTTATGGTTACTCCGCGCCTGAGTATACTCGAGGAGGAAGCCTCACCACGAAATCAGATGTCTATAGCTTTGGAGTTGTATTGCTTGAGCTCATCACTGGTCGGAAAGCTCTTGATACTACTAGGCCAAATGATGAACAAAACTTAGTTTCTTGGGTAAGTAAACATTAAGTTTACTATATTCTTATAAACAATTATATCATAAAGTTTTTTCTTTTAATATCTTAGGCACAACCTATATTTAGAGATCCGAAGAGGTATCCTGATATGCTAGATCCAGTTCTGAAGAATAAATTCTCAGAAAGAGGGTTAAACCAAGCAGTTGCAATAGCTTCAATGTGTGTGCAAGAGGAACCAACGGCACGTCCCTTTATAAGTGATGTAATGGTTGCACTTAGCTTCCTTTCCATGTCAACAGAAGATGGTATTCCCACAGCAGTTCCCATCTTATCCTTCAGGGACAAAAGCATGTCTATAGCCTTAAGCCGACATGATTCAAATCTTGTCTCTCCAAGTCCTGAGGCAGCTACTGAAGATGACAAGTCTAGTACAACATCAGATGAAGAGTCATCTATGGACAATGAAAAGGAGAGAGTCATGAGTAAGAAGAAGAAGGAGAAACTTGAGGAAGAAGATAGCTCTACAGAATCTGATGATGGCTCTTATTCAGATGATGATGAACATGAAAAGGAACAAAAAATTCCACCACCAAAGACTATTGATGAGAAGAAGAACCAGGCGCAGAGTTTGAAGATAAAGTATAGATATAGCTGGGAAGGAGTTGAAGAAAATGATGAGAGGTTAAGCAGTAAAAGCAGCCAAAAATCAAATGATGGAGGAAGCATGTCTTCAGGCTATGATAGCAACAAAGATCATGATGATGATTCGCCTAAGAAGGAGGAGAAAGAGGAAGAGCAGCATATTCATCTTGAGAAGATGCATAGCTCAAAAACTGATGATAGTCAAAGTGTATACTATGATGATGATGATGATTCAGGTGATGACAATGATGAAGTCTCTTTGCATCGTGTAAAATCAGAGGTTGAGGTTGGTTCTCTTGAAGATGACAATGGAGCTTCTTCGCACCACACTGAATCATAGCTTGAGAGTGATGCTATTGAAGATTGGAACTGTCTTTAGGATTTATATTCATCCTTTGAAGCTAATGATCAAAGTAATTTTCGAGGGGGAAACTCTCATTTGAAAATACTATATACATTTAAAAGCTTTTTTTTTAAACAAATTTATAACCATCTCTATTCATATATGATGAAGATATTTCCGATTAATAGACAAACAAACAACATGTACAACTCTAATGATCTGATTGAAAAACACTTTTGAAAAAAAATCTCTTATGTTTTATAGTGTTCTTGAAAAGACATAACAATAACCAAAATATACAGAACATATTTTAAATTTGTAACTGCAAATGTAGACTAAATTAAAAGCATTACATAAAAACACTAAATATAGTGTGTTAGTAGTAGATATAGTATAGCATTTAAGCAGTTAAACAGAAACAAACAAATGAAAACAAAAAAAAAAGAACAAACAAATGTCAAATAACCAAACTCTAAATAGAAATATCATGAAACACCAAATTTAGCTATGAATATGAGCAAGATTAGATTATACCAAATAAACAAGGAAAGAAATAGATTCTCAATTTAGATATAGGTATTGTTTGTTTCACCATCTATCATTTCCATACAGCTAATACATCTAAATGATTCATCTAGATGGTCCATCCACATATGGACCACAATTTTAAGATTGTTTGTTTGTCCATTCATATGGTCCATCTAGATGGATCTTCTAGATGGACTCATGTTTATTTCTCTATTTTTCTTCTCCATTTAGATGAGTTTGGTAAAAAAATTACTAAAATACCTTTGTTTTGATTAAGTCATATGTATGAAATTAATTTTAAATATATTAACTTTTATAATTTTGACGCGAAAACGTATTTTTACGGATTTGGCGGAAAAACAAGTTTTTGGAAGAGAAAAAACGTTGTTTTGTGGTTTTGGCGGAAAACATGTTTTGGCGGGAAAACGCATTTTTGCGGTTTTGGTAGGAAAATACGTTTTTGCAGTTATAGCGGGAAAACACGTTTTTGCGATTTTAGCAGAAAACTGTTTTTTTGCGGAAAACGCGTTTTTGCGGAAAAACGTGATTTTGCGGTTTTGGCAAAAAAACGTAGTTTTGTGGTTTTGGCGGAAACCGCATTTTTAGCAAAAAACGTGTTTTGCGGTTTTTGTGGGAAAACACGTTTTGCGGTTTTTACGGGAAACGTGTTTGACGGAAAAACGAATTTTTTCGGTTTTGGTAGGAAAACATGTGTTTGTGGTTTTGGCAGGAGTTTTTCGGTTTTTGCCGAAAATGCGTTTTGGCGGAAAACGGAGTTTTGCGTTTTTGGCGGGAAAACCTGTTTTTTGGTTTTGGCGGGAAAACGTGTTTTTCGATTTTTGCGGGAAAATGCATTTTGGAGGAAAAACAGGTTTTTGCGGTTTTGGCGGGAAAACGTGTTTTGCGGCTTTGGCTGAAAAAATGCGTTTTGGGAGGAAAATGCATTATAGTGGGAAAAATGAGTTTTTACGGTTTTAGCGAGAAAACGTGTTTTTACGGTTTTGGTGAAAAAATGCGTTTTTACGGGAAACACATTTTTGCGGTTTTAGCTGGGAAAAAACGTTTTTACGGTTTTGGTGGAAAAACATGTTTTTGCGGTCTTGGCAGGAAATCCATTATTGCGATTTTGGCGGGAAAACACGTTTTTGCAGTTTTTGCGGTTTTAGCGGAAACATGTTTTACGGTTTTAGCGGAAAAATGCGGTTTTGTCATTTGAGAAATGTGATTTTGTCATGTAAGTTACAAAATAATAGTATGTTTAGGTTTGTAATTTATGAATTATATAAAAGGGTATAATAGACATTATATAATTTTGGAAGAACCATCTCCATCCAGATGCTTCAAATTGGTCCATCCAGGTAGACTTAAAAATTAAGCCTAAAATTTCAAAGTCATCCGGATGATTCATCTAGATGAGTTGTACTTTTAGTGTCTAAACAAACGAAACTCCCATATCCATCCGGATTGAGTCATCAGGATGGAGAAACAAACAAGCCCATACTAAATTAGATTCTGAACCGACACAAATAATGCATACAAACATAAATGTTTATTACCCTATATATATCCTATCTGTGATTAATACATGTCTCATAAATCCTATGAGTCATCCATCATAGAAATGACTATAAGATTAGATTATCCAGACAAAAAGGAAATAAATAGTTCTCAATTTATATATTTCTAATTGTTGATTCATAAGATTATATAACCGTAAATATTTATTACCCCCTATCCTATTTGTGATATGTCATTGAGTTATTCTCCCCCCTCTGTCAATGCCAATGGTCAATAGTCAATACATTCATTCTATAGAATAAACTTTGAAATGAGACCACTCAAGTTTTATATTTTTTTATCGTGATTCGAAGACTAGTTTTGATTCTTTGAGAATTTTCCTTGGTTCTTCAATTTTAAAAATATCAATGTATATTGACTCAAAATTAAAGATTCGTACAAGAATAGTCAGCTGTGATGAGGAGGATCTAAACGAAAAGAACAAGATACGACACGTGTCAAGATCCTAAAGATACCAGTAGGGTCCACCCTAAAGCCCTAATAAAGGAGGTTTTAGCCCAATAGGGAAGAAGGGAATCGCAACAAAATCTGAGTCATCTTTTCCTCCTATAAAAGAAAACTCTGTTTCTCCCAAAAAAAACCAATTCTTTTGCTCTGTTTTTTCTCTCTGTTTCTGATCCTCAATGTGTCTGATAATGGAAGCGGCGGAAGATCACGACGGTAGTGTTTTAGTTGCGCCGTCTAATTTCTCCATGGTTGAAGACGGAATTTACCGATCTGGGTTTCCTAAACCGGAGAATTTTGGTTTTCTCACAACCCTAAATCTTCGTTCCATCATGTAAGATGATTGAATTTTTCTCTTTTGGGTTTAATCAATTATAGTTTTTAATTGGTTTTTGATTATAAAAATCGTTCCTTTTGCGTTGTTGATTCACCAAAACAGCTATCTTTGTCCTGAGCCTTACCCAGAGGAGAATCTCAAGTTTCTTGAAGCTAACAACATTAAGCTTTTCCAATTTGGAATCGAAGGCAAAACGGTGCGTTTTTGTTTCTTGTTGATCTTTGAGTCACTGTTGTTTTTCTTTTTATAATTGGGATGGTTTATGATTTTTGCAGGATCCTCCAACTCCTATGCCAAAGGATACAGTTTTGGATGCTCTCAAAGTCTTAGTTGGTAAGGATTCCAACACTCAACACGGTTCCTTACCTGTTGTTTTACTTTTATGATGTTCTTTAGAGTAAACTCTTTGTTTCCTCTGTAGATGTAAGAAACCATCCCATTCTCATACACTGCAAAGCCGGAAAGGTAATAATAATAATAATAATATTCATCAACCTTTTGTTTCTCTTAGTTATTTACAGGAAAGGACGCTAATGGGTTTTGGTGAATTCAATATTATGAATGCAGCATAGGACAGGTTGTTTGGTGGGATGCTTAAGAAAAGTTCAGAGCTGGTGTTTATCATCTGTGCTCGAGGAATACCAGAAGAACGCTGGTTTGAAGTGGAGACAAAGGGACTTGAATTTCATCGAGGCGTTTGATACCGCGAGCTTGAGGCAGTGTCTCTTGAGCATCATGTATCGTTATCATGGTTATGGGTTCAAGAGGAAAAGGTTGGTCCATGAAGAAGAAAACGTCCAGACGCCGAAACTGCAGGCTGCTAAAGTTTGAAAATGAAAGCTAACCAAGTGGGACATGGTTTGGGTTTTAATTTGAGGTTCCATTCACTGGACGATTCTGTTAGGAGGATAAGTTAGTCTATGTCAAGATTCATAAATAGGAGTTTAATTTTATTTTTTAGTGATAGAAATGTACAGAAAGATTACTCTTCATTTTAGATACTGATGCATGAGAGGTCAATTAACTCATGCTTTTATCTTTTGTTTTACTTGTCATTGTAGTAGCCATTATCATTATTATCTTACAATAAACCAAAAGACCAGAGAATAACAAAACAAATTTTATTAAACATCATTTTCATCAAGTGACATTTTCAACCACTAGATGTTAGAACAAAGCTTGCAAATTAATAAAAAAAAAAAAACAAAACTTTCGTGGCTTATGTTGAAACTTCAACGAACTTCTCAAGCAAGGTAGTACTTGAGTTTTTAAAAAGTAGTTATCGGAAAAGGAAAAAAACAAAGGAGGTAAAGAGTATCGAGTCACCTTTCCAATTAAATAACATGTGCGCTTGCAGGACAAGGTTTCTGACTATCTAATATACCACATGTACTAAGAAAAGTATGCTCTAATTAAAGATAAACTAAAGATTCCACCAATTTGTTTAGCATTCTTTAACTAAAAGAAGTCATATTCTGTTTACACCTAATTTTACACGTTAATAAAGAAGAACAAGAAGGAAAATGTGAATCTAATAAGAAATTAGTTATTATATATCTGCTTTTGATATCCATTATCAGTCTCAACGTGATCGAGTCAGCAAATTAGGACAGATGAATATAATAGCACATGTCACTACAACTGAGATAATCACATATATAAGAAACTTGGTGAAGAACAATCCATCCAATTCCAACAGATCAAACATCCTCTCTTGCCTTCATGAAAACCAGTCACACACAAGCCGATTAAACCAAACGTGTTCTACACTCCAAAACCTATAAACAGAGAGATTGAAACTACTAACAATAGCTTAAACCATATGACATTCAATGATTCAACCTTCTATAGCTTTCATAGGGTCATTTTCATGGGAAAATTGCAAATACAGCCCTCAAAATAACAACATTTTACAACTAAACCTTTTTAAAAGAGGAGTGAACAAAAAAGAAACCTTGTTAAAATAAGAAATAAATCTTATCCACTTTTGTAAGGAGGGTTTTAGTGGGATGCGGAGAGGTACATGGTAATGGTTGTGGACATAAGTAAAACAAAACAGAGAAAAAGAAGGGCGGAGGAGCGCATCAGTGATCAAAAACACATGCAAACCAATGTCTGCTTCTTCTTGTTCTTTATTTAATCTCCCTTTGATTCGCCTCAGATCTCTCTCCCATTTCCCTCTCTCATCGCTCCGATCCGTTTCCGTTCCCATTTCACCGAGAAAGTTTCGAGCTTTCTCCACAATGACAGATTGTAAAGATGCTGGAATGGATGCTGTTCAGAGACGCCTCATGTTTGAGGACGAGTAAGTCACTCTCTGACTCTCCTTTACTTCGAATTTCGATTCTTGGGTTTCTCCAAAATTGCACCTTTTTTTTTGTTTTCAAATTGGTTTGTCTCCGTTGTTAGGTTGCTGAGAAACAAAATAGACGAATAAAGTGACAAATTTTGGTTCTAGAACATATGTCTATTGATTTGTTGACTTCGATGAATAGTAACATTAATTTTCAGTGTCTTATATGAAAGTGTGACAGTGTTGGGTGGAAGGAACATAGTCAGGTTATAGCTATGCTGTTCTCAGGTGTTTGGTCGATAATGGATTCATTGAATGTATATACTTTGTCTCCTTTTTAAGACCTAATTTGATGATGATGATGATGGTTGATTCCCTTTGCTTTCATAGAAGTGTTTCTTGCAAGTTTGCAGTACAAGAATCTATACAATCTCTCCCCACCTTATTTTAACGTCTGTGTCTTGCTTTGTAGATGCATTCTTGTTGACGAAACTGATCGTGTTGTGGGGCATGACAGCAAATATAATTGTAAGTGAAAAATTTGGTTCTAGTCTCATCCTACCTCTTACTGTTTTCCATTGTGCTACTTGTACTTAGTTGCATCAAATGTCGTAGGCCTCTCAGTGAATATGGCGAATGTACTGTTTTTGGTGTAGTTAGCAACATTTTCAGCGTCCGCAATGAATTATCTTTATTTAAGCGTATGGAAATAGGAAGTTCTGTCTTGTTGAGTATATTAAATAGACGAATATAAGATGTTCATGCTGGAGTATGGTTGAAGAAAATTATCTACTTTGTTTGGCATATAAAACTCATATTGAAGTGATAGATGATGGCTGCGTTTTGCTTCTTATTTCAGTCTATGCTACTGTTCAAGATTCTGATACCTTATGACATCTGCAGGTCATCTGATGGAAAATATTGAAGCTAAGAATTTGCTTCACAGGGCCTTTAGTGTATTTTTATTCAATTCCAACTATGAGTTGCTTCTCCAGGTATATTTCTTATGACTGCTTTCAAGATTGTATATTCAAAATGCACGGAATTTTTACGAGGGTCATATCTAGAATTACCTTTGTAGAGAATAATAAGATCAATAAATATGGGAGGGTAGATCGTAAGCTTTGTTCTAGATATTTTATTGCATTGGGTGTGGGTCGTGTGGCTATACTCTCGTGATTTTAGATGCTTGGTGGGTCTTAATAAGCTGGTTTATATGCCATCCTAGTGACATTCCTTATTCTCTTTTGAACAGCAAAGGTCGAAAGCAAAGGTGACCTTCCCTCTCGTGTGGACAAACACTTGTTGCAGCCATCCTCTTTACCGTGAATCAGAGCTCATCGAGGAAAATACACTCGGTTGGTATCTTCTTGGCTAAAGATTCAATATTTCTTACTGTCTATACTGTCTATGCAGCAGATTGTAAAGCTTCACTTGCAAAATGACCTACCTCACTGTTTGGTTCATGCTCGATCAGGTGTGAGGAATGCTGCACAGAGAAAGCTTCTTGACGAGCTTGGTATTGTAGCTGAAGATGTACCAGTGGATGAGTTCACTGCCTTGGGACGTATGCTTTACAAGGCTCCTTCTGATGGCAAATGGGGAGAGCACGAACGTAAAATACCATTCCCTGAGACTCGTCCTGACATTTTATTCATGAATATACACACTTTCAAAAATGTTCATGGAGCATTGATGTTCTTTTGTATATTGGCCTTTACTATTGCAGTGGACTACTTGCTCTTCATTGTGCGGGATGTGAAGGTTCAACCAAATCCAGATGAAGTAGCGGAAATCAAGTATGTGAGCAGGGAAGAGCTGAAGGAGCTTGTGAAGAAAGCAGATGCAGGGGAGGAAGGTCTCAAGCTATCTCCATGGTTCAGATTGGTGGTGGATAACTTCTTGATGAAGTGGTGGGATCATGTTGAGAAAGGGACTTTGAGTGAAGCTATTGACATGAAAACCATCCACAAGCTCTGAGATCTTTTTAAGTTTTTTGGGATAGTCTTTATCTTTTGTTCTGTGTTTTTTGATATTTTGATGATAAGGATTTGGGAGATGTGAGACTTTTAAACATTCCAAGGAAGTCACGCAATAAATTTTCGTTTTTTCTTCTTCTTTATGAATACTTTTTGAGATGCTTAAAACGCATAAAGAGCTGGAAAGTGATAGCAAGGAAACAGAGTCGAAACAGAGGAAAGGAAAAAGCAAAGATTCCTTTTTTCGATCTGTTTAAACATAAAAAGCTAAAGTCAATAGTTTATTTTATTGTAATGAAATGACCAAAACAAGTACTGTTGTATGTTTCTGACTTTGGTTTTCCTTTTAAAAACCATTACTTCATTCATCTCTCTCAGACTTGAGAGCTAGCAAACAGAGAGTTTTCTTCTATTTCAGGTAAACAAAAAGAGATTCGATCTAAATCTAAATCCCTTTTGTTTTGTCTAATTCCTTTTTATTGTTTTCTTGTGAAATGAATGATTTTTTTTTTTTGTTTAATCATGAACATATGATCACTCTGTTTGTCTCAGATTTAACTGGATTTGAATTTTTTCCAAACCTCATATTATAGATTTTCTAGATTCCTTTGTTTTGATCACAATCCAGGTGATAATTAAAAGATGGCGTTTGTGACCACTGCAGAAGTGTGTGACGCGAATCAAGAGCTGATCCGTAGTGGCCAGCTCCGTGCTCTGCAACCCTGTTTTCAGATATACGGTCGTCGTCAGATATTCTCAGGTCCTGTAGTTACTGTCAAAGTGTTTGAAGATAATGGCTTGATCCGTCAGTTTCTAGAAGAGAAAGGTATCATTCATTCTCCTTTCTTCTTCTTGCTTTAGAAGATTTCAAAACACTCAAGACTTTCTTCTTAGAGAGACCTTAAGAGATGGTTATACAAACTTTCATGGGATCATTGAACATGGTTTAGTTTAAGATCATATATCTGATTCAGTAGTAATGATAACTCTTTGACTACTGCTTGGTTTATATAGAACATGAAACTATGTAACACTACTGATTCGAGATAACGTTTCATTGTTCTTAATAATTAACCAATATGTTTTGTACTATTCACATCAACAACTCTTCACAGATGATGATCATTTGATATGTTGAGGGTTTCCGGGTATGTTATAAAATCATAGATTTATGGTAGAAAACATAAGACTCTTATCATAATAACATCAAAATCTATATTCTGATTTTGTTACGTTTTTTGCAAGTGTAATTTTGAAATTGTATCAATCCGGGTGTGTGCTTGATTCTCTAACCATTATAGTGACTAGAGGCTTTGCTTACTGATGTTTATGAAATCTTATAAAAACAGGCAATGGAAGAGTTCTTGTAGTGGATGGTGGAGGAAGTCTACGTTGTGCCATACTTGGAGGAAACCCAGTAGTACAAGCGCAGAACAACGGATGGGCGGGAATCATAGTGAACGGTTGCATCAGAGACGTTGATGAGATCAATGGTTGCGACATTGGAGTGAGAGCTTTAGCTTCTCATCCTATAAAAGCTAGTAAGAAAGGACTTGGTGAACAGAGAGTTCCACTCAACATAGCAGGCACTAGGATCTGCGATGGTGAATGGCTTTATGCAGATACTGATGGTATCCTCGTTTCTCAGATCGAATTATCGGTTTAGAAAGCAGGACAAAAGGGTTTTTGATTTGTTTGCATGTTGGAGCAGCTTTGTCTGAAAAACTTCTTATTGTTTGAGATAAGACTTTTGCTGTCTAATAAGGCTTTTAATTTAATTTTACTGCTAAAAAATTAGATATGGATTTAAAATAGTAAAAGTAATAGAATTGTTGCTTTAAGATAAACAAAAAACACAAAAAGTTAAATTAGTTATTTTGGTTGTGAAAAATTTAAGGATAGTTTTTAGAATTTTAGAGAATTTCAAACCAGTCGTACATTGCACGTAAAGCTCCGGTGTGGCTATATTATTTACTCGTTTTGGAGGCTAAGCGATAAGAAATTTTGGTGAGGTCTATACTACTTTTGTTTGGTGCCTAATGACATCTCCTTTTGTCTCTTTTGTTTCATTTTTTTGTATAATTTGAACTCTTTCAAACCAATAAGTGTTATAAAAAAAAGAGAATCTCAAACATGAATGGATTTAAGAATTAGGTAAAATTACCATCTACTTATCAAAAACATAAATATTATGTTATACCTAATCTGTTCTTTAACATAAGTACTAGATTTTGACCCGCGCAACCGCGCGGGTGTTTGTTTTCGTTTATAGTTATATAAACATTTTGTTTTCACTTGTAAATTGGTATATATTATAGTAATCACATATTTACGATATGTATAGTAAATGTTTTTCAAACATAATAATATTATATAATAAGTGTTTCAATCAAATAGATTGTTTCAAATTTTCTATATTATACATGACTTTCAAACATGTGTTTGTTTCTTCTTCTATATTTTATTGTTTGTTAGATTAGTATTTCATTTTTAGATAAAGTAATATAAATAGAGCTTGATTAAATATTAGTGTAATTTAATTTGCAAAGATAATATAAACTTTGAAATTTTTTTTTGCTAAAAACTAAACTTATAGCTTCATAAATTAATATTATAAAAAGTTTATTAAAAAGGAACTTTTTAAACAATTTCTTTTTTTTTCAACAATACAATTTTAAAATTTTACATCGAAATAAATTTATCTAATATATATAACGTGTAAATTTTGTTAAGGTATATAAATATTACATATTAATAATCTGTGATTTTTGTTAATATATTCTGGATACATTTAAGTATTATTGACATATTTCCTTATAAATAATAGAAGATTCCTAAATTTATATCTATTAACATATTTTGCGTGACTAAGTAGGAAGGTGTGGGGTAATTTACCAAAACAAAATTGGTAAGCATATTATAAGATAAAATAATGATAATATTATTAGAGAGTTAATGTAACATAACTTTCTAGTAACAGTCCATTTTTTAAAAAATCACACATGAAATCAAGTTATGACTTCTGTTTTAATATATAAGATGTACAGATAATACAATCTGATAACCAGATTAACCGGTTTGACCGTGAGTTAAATTTAAAAGTATTAATTTAAATACAAAAATATTTTAAATACATAATTTATAGATTAATAAAGTATTTATTATTTTATTAATGAAATCATCATAAATTATTCCACGTTTATAAGTTGCGAATCAAAATCTAATTAGAATTAAATTATCTACTGTACTATCTCATTTTGCTTACAAAAAAAAAGAAAAGATTATTGGATCTGTTTTGTTGTAATAATGAAGGAAACGTTTCTATTTCGTTCGTCCAAATCGAGCGTTTAGTCTAAACTGCGTTTCTCTTAATAACATATAACCCAAATAAAACCCTAAACTTCGTTACGTTTCAATCTCTCACTCGTTCTTTACTCTAACAATGGCGGCGGAGAGATCAACAACGATTACTCTCGGAGGCAAAGGCTCCTCCTTTACTTCATCCTCCGTCCACAAAATCGCTTCCGGCATCGCCAACGTACAAATCGACTCTTCCGCCATCGAGAGATTCTCCACAAAACCCCTCCCACTGATCAAAAGAACCTCCTTTGGCACCATCCCCGAAGGCTTAACCACCGAAGAGATCCGAGCTTCTCTCGCCGTTCTCTTAAACAAGCTTCTCATATCAAACTCCGGTTCGGTCCGGTCTACTCTTCCGGTTAAGATCTTGGAGTTTTTAAACTCAAAGGCCGAGACTTTCGAGTTCGGTGAGATCGATGAAGTGACGGAAAGTGAGAATGCTGTTTTGGAGAAGTCTTGTGCTTCGTTGGTGGGTTTATGTTCGGTTATAGATTACAAGGCGACGACTTTGTCACAGATTGTTGACTCTGTTGCTGCTTTGAGCTGTGAAGGGACGAAAAGTGACGTGTCTTCGTTTAGTTCGTTGGATTCTGGAGATGGGTTTGGTAATAAAGATGCGATTAGTGTCGCTGGTGATCTCAAGGCTTTGCTTAATGGGTCTAAAGCTGTGGGGAAAGTTGCGGTTGAGGAGGTTTCGAAGATTCCGAGGGTTCACGGGAAGTTTAGAGAGGTTGTGAGGAGTGTGCATTCGGAGGCTCGTGTTGAGTTGAATAGTGGTGTTAAAGGAGGTAACTCTGGGATTGGTGAGGCTTTGGGAACGACGTTGTTGGGTTTGGCTATGTCGGTTAAAAGCTTGGGTGAGTGTTCGTTCCTTCGTGGTAAGATGTGTTTTGAGTCTATTGGGGATGAGAGTTTGAAGAAATTGCTGTTGGAGAGGAGTTGTGTTGAGTATGAGAAGCTGAAGAGTGGTTTTAAGTCAGCTGTAGATGAGACGGATCCCTGCAGATTAGCACATAAGTTGAATGAGTCTCTTGGGATCTTGTGGAGTATTGTGGGTTTGGAAGCTGCTGGTGCTTTTTTTGTACTCTCTAGTGGAGACAAAGAGGAGGCTAAGAGCGATAAGAAAAAGAAGAAAGCAGCAGTTTTGGGGAAGGGTACAAGTGTAGTTATCCAGTTTATTAAAGATAGGTTGGTTAGTAAGGAGGCAGCGAATGGTGGTGACCAGGTGGAACAAATCTTAAGTCTTTTTAATCCCGAAGGTTTTGATAGCTTGTTGGCTAAAGTGAAAGAGGTGGTAGAAAGTAATGAAAACAGGAGACTTCCAAAGCTTCCAAAGGTAAAACTTCCGAGATCTCACTATCAAAATGTTAGTCCTTTGAGTCTATATATTGTTTCTCATTTGTTTGATTCTTTGATAGGGTACAAGAGATTTCTCTAAAGAGCAAATGATAATCAGAGAAAAGACCTTTTCAATCATTCAAAATGTTTTCAAGAAGCATGGTGCAACTGCACTTGATACTCCTGTGTTTGAACTTAGAGAGACACTTATGGGGAAGTACGGAGAAGACTCTAAGCTTGTCTACGACATTGCTGATCAGGTAAAGCTCCATCTCTGAACACTCTGGATAATGATGTTTACATTCATGTCATGCTCACGTTGTTGATTTGATTTGCAGGGTGGAGAGCTTTGTTCCTTACGATATGATTTAACAGTTCCATTTGCACGGTTTGTAGCTATGAATGGTCTCGTCTCATACAAAAGATACCAAATAGCTAAGGTGTACAGAAGAGATAATCCATCGAAAGGGAGATACAGAGAGTTTTATCAGTGCGATTTCGATATCGCTGGTTTGTCTGAACCAATGGGACCTGATTTCGAAGTGGTCAAGATTTTAACTGAGCTTCTTGATAAATTGGAGATTGGAGAGTATGAGGTAATAACTTTTTATCTTAAACTCTTTATATTTCCTTGTTTGTTTCCTCCTTGCTTATGTTCTTGGTTTTTTCCAGGTGAAACTGAATCACAGAAAGTTGCTTGATGGAATGCTGGAGATATGTGGAGTACCAGCTGAGAAATTCAGAACCATCTGCTCGAGTATTGATAAACTAGACAAGCAATCATTCGAGCAAGTTAAGAAAGAAATGGTGGAGGAGAAAGGTTTGTCTTCAGAGATTGCAGACAGAATTGGCGGTTTTGTCAAGGAGAAAGGAGCTCCTATGGAGTTATTGACTAAACTGAGAAAAGAAGGGAGCGAGTTTTTAGGTAACAAGTCAGCAAAAGAAGCTCTTGATGAGTTGAGTATCATGTTTGAAGCTCTTGAGAGGTCAAAGTGCAGTCACAGGATAGTCTTTGATCTAAGTCTAGCAAGAGGTCTTGATTACTACACGGGAGTCATCTTTGAAGCCGTTTGTAAAGGAGCAGAGGTTAGACAAAACGTCCTGTGACTTTGCTTCTTGCAATTTAAATTAGAAAAAAAAGTACATGAATGAATGATACTAATGTCTAGTTTTATGGCAGGTTGGATCAATAGCTGCTGGTGGGAGATATGATAACCTTATAGGAATGTTTGGAACCAAACAAGTACCTGCGGTTGGTATGAGCTTGGGGATTGAGCGTGTGTTTAACATCATGGAAGATCAACAAAAACAGGTAACTTACTTCCCGAGTCTTTTTGTTATTGTCCTTAAAAATTCAGAGGATTGGTATTAATGAACTTTTGTTTTTTAATTGAGGGAGTACGAGCTCCGAGTAAACTTACGGAGACGCAGGTTTTGGTTAGTGTAATGGAGGATAACAAGCTAGGTGAAGCTGCAGAGCTGGCTAGTAAGCTATGGGAAGCTGATATCAAGGCAGAGTATCTTGTGAGCAAAAGGTTTACAAAGCATTTTGATCGTGTTAAGAATTCAAAGATCCCTTGGATGGTGGTTGTGGGCAAAAAGGAACTCAGTGAAGGTGTTGTGACACTGAAGAAGATGGTGGAGGGAAGTGAGGAAGAGATTAAAGATGTTCCTAGAGACAGTTTCGTTGATGAACTGTTGAAGCGTCTCTGAGTTGGAAGTAGAGATCAAAGTTAAATACTCACTCGCTCGCTCTCTGGTTCGATTATCAGAAACTGAAAGGATATGATGATCACATTTTGTTGCATTTTTATTTTTACATTAAGCTTTTTCAGAATGATATTTTTGATGGCAAAAAGTATTACTCAAATTGATTGATCTGGACGTAGATGTGATTGAGTTTGCTAGGTGAATAGCCGACCAATGATTAAGATTTAATCTTATAGAACTAATAGTTGAATTAGAAGCGATTAATCATTCATTCATTGATGTTACGATTTGCTTAAACAAAAAAAAGAGCATGAATGTGTTAGTTTTTTCTTTAAAAGAATGTTAAATTAGTTCAACCAAATAAAAACATTTTACAACCAGAATTGCTTGTTTAAGACTCAAAATAGAGCAGACAAAACGAGATTTACATTCGAGAATTGGAATTAGCGAAAAGAAAACCATGTTGCCATGGTTCCTTGGAAGCAGAGTTGTGATGATGGTTCACGCTGGTAATGCAGTTTCGAACCTGCTTATCAATAATTTTGATGAGGCCTGAAGCAGGTTTGTAATCTTCACCATATTTTCTCCCATTGCGTTCGGTCCATATAGCATATAACGATGCTTGGAACACATACCGAAACAAAAACAGCTCCAGTTTGCTTCGTTTTTTAGTGAGAAGAGTAATGATGTCATCCCATACGTTAGAGTAATCTGTTGTCAAGAGCTTCTTTGTGAGATTCAACCACACCTCCCCCGTATATTGACACTGAAAAAACAGATGGTTTCAAGATTCTGGACAAGTTTTTCAGAGAGAGCACACCACCGTAATGCCTCCATTCCATAGAGATCGCCAATCACCCGTGGGCAGCCTGTCTTGAATGGCAACCCAGGTGTGAAAAGAAAACTTAGGGGTATTGAACTGAAACCACACTCCTTTGAACCAATCAACTTGCATCTGTAAGCCTCGCAAGAGCTTCCAAGTTTCTTTTGTAGTAAACATCGGTTTATAATCATCACCACACTTCCATAATCTGACATCATCCTCATATTGTAACCCTCTGTTTCTGAGCTTTTGTATCTCATGTTCAATGAGGTTATAGATCTCAACTCGGTGCCGTCTACCCCTGTGCTTATGGAAAACTGTGGCTACTGTATCATGGAGACGAATGCCCATATTCACAGGGCCACCAGCTCCTGTTTTGTCCATCAGACAGCCTAGTTCTGACCAGTCATCGAACCAGAAAGACGTTGACATTATGGATTGTCACTTTTGAAAACCCTGCAGCAACTTCTCTGCATTTTAACAACTTTTTCCACATCCAAGATCCAAGTGAACTACTGTCTTTTACTGTCCAGAAAGATCCCTTGCGAATCAAGTAACGGTTCACCCATGTAACCCATAGGAAGGTTTTAGATGAAAGGATACGCCACACCAGTTTCAGAACAGAGACCTGATTAGCTTCCTCAAGAGAACGCAGACCAAGACCTCCCTCTACTTTTGGCCTACAACAATCCTTCCAGATGACCTTGGACTGAGAGGTCTTACCTTACTTTTTATTTGCCAAAAGGCTTTGATTTTTATTCAATTTTGGCGATAAGTGGGTTTAAGAACACTCTCCTCTGTATTGTCAACTGAGAAATTACTTTCACAAGACTCGTATATACTAATATAAGATTTATACTAATATAAGATTTATAAAAAATCTTTAGCTTTATCTTTTTAATATAATGGCGACTGTCATAATACACGAGGTACAAAACCACATATATAAAACATTAGCACAACAGTATATCAATTAGTTTAGTTCCTCAAAAGCGATGATGTGATGGGCTGCCAATAGGAGTTTTCTCAATTAAACGAACACAATCGTTCCATGTCTGCTTGCTTCTTGAAATAGCTTGGGACGCAACATTTCTATACTCGTAACTCGAAAAAGTGATTTGAATCAAGCCTAGATAACAATTTTTGCCTATCTTTAATAAATCACCACAACAATCCATTGACACAATTTGCGTCGCCTCATCCACCATGTTTTTTAAATGATCATCTCCACAATGTGATGACTTCATCTTCTTTAAGCAAATGTCAAGAAAATCGATTTGTTTGTCCGTGTAATGATGTCCAAACTTCATCTCATATTCCATCGCAGGTGAATCAGCTTCTTCAAATGGAGATTCCTCTGGAGATTCACCGTAAATATCTGATGTAGGAGATATCTTCACATCTTCTGGTACCTCTTGTGAATATTGATCAAAATCTTGAGAAGAAGTTAGATGTGACATGAAGAGCACTACCATGGATACAAACAATGCAATGTGGAGAGACTTTGACATATTTACTTTTGATATTGGTAGATGTTTGGTTGGTATCAATAAACACGAGATGTTATAAAGCAATGAACATGGTGATTTGTAGAAGCAAAATTAATTGATAAAACGTCTATTTATTAATCAATTTATGTTATAACTTCATAAAATTCAGAATTTAATAGCTATGTTTCAAAAAAAAGACTGTTTTTTTTAATCAATTTTTAGCTTCATTATGAGCCTACGGATTGAGTCCAACGTACTTAGACTTAAGGCAAACACGACACAGCTCTACCACTACTCAAATAAATAGGGTATAGCTCTCGTGCAAGCGCGGAGTCGGAGTCATAATTGATGTATTCTATATATTTTGACGTTTGACATATAAGCTCAATCGATATGACATGAGATAGTCTTTTGTATTAGTTAATAAAATTCAAAAAAGCCATATATATCGGCAACATTTATGCAGTCATGTTAAATACCACATGATCTTCTCATTCTTCTTTAATTTCCATAAATTTGCCATTTTTTATGTTATGAGAATCCAAGAAACGGAGGCAGCGAGCAACCATAAACTTAGCAGTTCGAGCAGCTGTCCCATTATAATATAGATTATTAGTATTATTTTGCATAAAAGAAGCTGGATATATTAATAGGTACATACATATGTCTGTTGTAAAACAATGAATCATCATTTTATCTTTATGGTGTGATTATTTGGAATCTAAAGAGTAATAGTTTTTACTATTAAATCTAAATCTATGATTTTATCCAAAATGAGATTTGATTATCTGATTGAGATTAGACTCTAAACGAAGAAGATAAGAGCACCCACATTGATGAACCCTCCTTGGGGGTTCACAGCAATAAAAATAATAATTTTTTTTTTAATTTGCGTTTACTTTTTAAAAAAAAAAAAATTAATTTTGGACCAATCATATGTTGACACGTGGTGAACCCGGGGTCATTGGGTTCACCGCGGTAAACTTTTGAGAAAGGGATTCATAAAAATCTGATTTTAATATTATTATTTTTTCTCGGTTCGCGTGTGAACTCCCCCATCAACCCTTGATGGGGGTGCTCTAAGCTTGTCATTATCAAAAAAACTGAATAACTGATTGTGGATCTCATGAGCGAGAGAAGAAAAAATAAACAGAAACAGGTTGTCTTGTTCGAAATATTGATCTGCAGATCTGCTGCATGAGAGCTGAAGTTGATACGTGTTGCAATCTTTGCTTCATAGCCGACATGTGGCTCCAGTTTTTTGTACTCATCACCAAATGTGCGGATGTAATGAATTATGTGTTCCACAGAAAAGTATTGTTCTGTTCTGTAGAGAATGGAGAAGAAATAACGAGTTTGTAGTCGTTGGTTGTGTTTCTTTCACGTTTAAAAATTTCATATTTTTCTCTCTGTTCCTTTTTTTTTGTTCGTCTCTAAAAGCGCGAACATAATCTGATTCTGAGACCATCCTATCTTTTGATTGTTATGTCTCTTTTGGTGAGCGTCTTTTTAGCTCAAATTCGATTAAAATGTTTGATTCTTTCTGTAGGTATTAATTTTTCTCAGTGATTCTCTTCTCCATTAGTTGCAGACAAAGACGAAAATAGAATGAGAGAAAGGTTTTTGATATTTCTTGTGTTTCTAGTCTCTTTCTTAAACACTGTTTGATACATTCTCATGTTATATAAATAAACAAACATCTCTTCAAACTTTTTTTGATTGTTTGTGTGGTGGCAATAGAAAAAAATAGCCTTCTTCTTTGAGGTTTTTTTTTATTTGCAAAAATAAAAGATAGAAATGTTGAAGACTCAAAAATGTTTAGACATAGAGGTCTTACCTTACTTTTTATTGGTTAGATTTGAAAGACTTTGATTTTTATTCAATTTTGGTGATGTGTGGGTTTAAGAAACACTCTCCTCTGTATTGTCAACTGAGAAATTACTTTCACAAGACTCATATACTAATATAAGATTTATAAAAAATCTTTACCTTTATCTTTTAATATAATGGTGACTGTCATAATACACGAGGTACAAAATCACATATATAAAATGTTAGCACAACAGTATATCAATTAGTTTAGTTCCTCAAAAACGATGATGTGATGGGCTGCCAATTGGAGTTTTCTCAATTAAACGAACACAATCGTTCCATGTATGCTTGCTTCTTGAAATAGCTTGGGACGCAACATTTCTATACTCGTAACTCGAGAAAGTGATTTGAATCAAGCCTAGATAACAATTTTTGCCTATCTTTAATAGATCACCACAACAATCCATTGACACAATTTGCGTCGCCTCATCCACCATGTTTTTTAAATGATCATCCCCACAATGTGATGACTTCATCTTCTGTAAGCAAATGTCAAGAAAATCGATTTGTTTGTCCGTGTAATGATGTCCAAACTTCATCTCATATTCCATCGCGGGTGAATCAACTTCTTCAAATGGAGATTCCTCTGGAGATTCACCGTAAATATCAAAATCTGATGTAGGAGATATCTTCATATCTTCTGGTACCTCTTGTGAATTTTGATCAAAATCTTGAGAAGAAGTTAGATGTGACATGAAGATCACTACCATAGATACAAACATTGCAATGTAGAGAAACTTTGCCATATTTACTTTTGATATTGGTAGATGTTTTAGTGGTATCAATAAACACGAGATGTTATAAAGCAGTGAATATGGTGATTTGTAGAAGCAAAATTAATTGATAAAACGTATATTCATTAATCACTTTATGTTACAACTTCATAAAATTCAGAATTTAATAGTTATGTTTAAAAAATGTTTTTTTTTCAAAATTTTAACTTCATTGTGAGCATGTGCATTGGGTCCAACGTGCTTAGACTTAAGACAAACATAAGATAACTCTACCACTACACTAAAATTAGTAGAGGTATAGCCATCGCGCAAGCGCGGAGTCGGAAACATAGTTTATGTATTCTATATGTTTTGACGTATGACATATAAGCTGAATCGATATGGCTTGAGATAGTGTTTTGTATTAGTTAATAAAGTTCTAAAAATCCATATATATCGGCAACATCTATGCAGTTACGTTAAATACCAAATGTTCTCCTCATTCTTCTCTAATTCTTATAAGTTCACCATTTTTATGTTTCGGGAATCCAAGAATTGGAGGCGGGAAGCAACCAAAAACTGAGCAGTTCGACCAACTATCCCATTATAATATAGACTATTAGTATTTTTGATATTTCTCGTGTTTGTAGTCTCTTTCTTAATAACTGTATGATACATTCTCATGTTATATAAATAAACAAATATCTCTTCAAACTTTTTATGATTGTTTGTGTGGTTGCAATAGAAAAAAAAACTCTTCTTTTTGAGTTTTTTTTTTTTTTTAATTTGTAAGAAGAAAAGATAGAAATGTTGAAGACTCAAAAATGTTTAGACCCAGAGGTCTTACCTTACTTTTTATTGGTCAGCTTTGAAAGACTTTGATTTTTATTCAATTTTGGCGATGTGTGGGTTTAAGAAACACTCTCCTCTGTATTGTCAATTGAGAAAGTACTTTTACAAGACTCATATCCTAATATAAGATTTATAAAAAATCTTTACCTTTATCTTTTAATATAATGGTGACTGTCATAATACACGAGGTACAAAATCACGTATATAAAATGTTAGCACAACAGTATATCAATTAGTTTAGTTCCTCAAAAACGATGATGTGATGGGCTGCCAATTGGAGTTTTCTCAATTAAACGAACACAATCGTTCCATGTCTGCTTGCTTCTTGAAATAGCTTGGGACGCAACATTTCTATACTCGTAACTCGAAAAAGTGATTTGAATCAAGCCTAGATAACAATTTTTGCCTATCTTTAATAGATCACCACAACAATCCATTGACACAATTTGCGTCGCCTCATCCACCATGTTTTTTAAATGATCATCTCCACAATGTGATGACTTCATCTTCTGTAAGCAAATTTCAAGAAAATCGATTTGTTTGTCTGTGTAATGATGTCCAAACTTCATCTCATATTCCATCGCGGGTGAATCCACTTCTTCAAATGGAGATTCCTCTGGAGATTCACCGTAAATATCAAAATCTGATGTAGGAGATATCTTCACATCTTCTGGTACCTCTTGTGAATATTGATCAAAATCTTGAGAAGAAGTTAGATGTGACATGAAGATCACTACCATAGATACAAACATTGCAATGTGGGGATACTTTGCCATATTTACTTTTGATATTGGTAGATGTTGTTTTGGTATCAATAAACACGAGATGTTATAAAGCAGTGAACATGTTGATTTGTAGAAGCAAAATTAATTGATAAAACGTCTATTCATTAATCAATTTATGTTGCAACTTCATAAAATTCAAAATTTAACAGTTATGTTTCAAAAAACTGTTTTTTTTTTAATTTTTTTCCAATTTTTAGCTTCATTGTGAGCATGTGCATTGAGGCCAACGTGATTAGACTTAAGACAAACATGAGACAACTATACCACTACATTCAAATTAGTAGAGGTATAGCCCTCACGCAAGCACGGAGTCGGAAACATAGTTTATGTATTCTATATATTTTGATGTTTGAAATATAAGTTGAATCGATATGGCATGAGATAGTCTTTTGTACTCCCTCTGTTTCAATATAAGTGTCACTCTACAGCTATGCACACGGATTAAGAAAATAATTAATTTTACATATTTCCTATATAAAAACACAATTACCCATACACCTAACCATATTTTAACCAATAGAAAAACAAATTACATAATAAAATTAATAAATTTTACATTGAAAACCGAAAACGACACTTATTTTGTAACACAAAAAAATTCTCTACAATGACACTTAATATAAAACGGAGGGAGTATTAGTTAATAAAATTCTAAAAATTCATATATTTCGACAACATTTATGCAGTTACGTTAAATACCAAGGTTCTTCTCATTCTTTCTCTAATTCTCATAAATTCGCTATTCTTTATGTTTCGGAAATCCAAGAAAAAGAGGGGACGAATAACCATAAACCGAACAGTTTGACCAACTGTCCTATTATAATATAGATTATTAGTGTTTTTTTTTTTACATAAAAGCAACTGGATATATTAATAGGTACATAAATATGTTTGTTCTAACAAAAACAAAGTGAATCATCGTTTATCTTTATGGTGTGATTATTTTGGAATCTAAAGAGTAATTATTTTTTTTTAAGTGACTGAATCATCATTTCCTCCTTGTGGTGATCATTGGGATCTAAATCTTCAATCTTTCTCACTGTGGGTGTGACTATACAATAGTTGGTCTGGAGTGCCTTATTAAGATAATCAGGGCCTGAAAATGGGTTCATGTATCTGCAGAGAGCATTAGTCCCACACCGGGCTCTCCTGCTTTTGGTGTAAAGAAGAGGAAGAACTCTAAGAAGAAACTTGGCTCCAGAAACACATCCTTTGATTCAAGGAGAGATCATCCTTCGCATCAGGTCCGGGGATGTTTGTTCTTGAATGGATCAAGTGAGGTTGCTTGTATCTTCACTCAACAAGGCAAGAAAAGCCTTAATCAAGATGCCATGGTTGTTTGGGAGGTTAGTTTGAATAATAAATCTTCCTTTTGTTATGTTTCTGTTGTTTCTCCACTGCTGATCTAACTAGTAAATGATTTAGAATATTGATTCTTACATCAAATTGTTCACGTTTGCTCAGAATTTTGGACGTGTGTTTGCGCTTAGAGATGAACCTGAAGTATGTATAGTTTGGCTGCAAAACTGTGACTCACGTGGACTTGCAATGGCACGTGCTTTCGGAGACTTTTGTCTGAAAAACTTTGGTCAAATCTCTGTGCCTAATGTACCATTCCGTAGATTAACAGAAAAAGATGAGTTTATAGTGTTGGCTACAGATGGGGTAATTAATCCTTCTCTCTCTCAACCTCAAGCCCACACACACACATTCAGACATTCTTTTCTTTCTCACATGGCTAATGGTTATGGTTTGTGTGAAATAGATTTGGGATGTTCACTCAAATGAAGAGGTAGTGGGGATTGTAGCTTCAGCACCATCTCGTTCCTCTGCAGCAAGAGATGTAGTTGAGTCTGAGGTTAGAGCTTGGAGATACAAAATACCCGACCTCCAAAGTAGATGACTGTGCTGCGGTTTGCTTGTATCTACACTCCAACACCACAAACGCCGTATCTACAGCGTCTGAGAATGATGATGCATCAGGACTAGGCGGTCTAGGCCGTTCAAGTACTGTCAGGACCGGGAAAGAGGCTGTTCTGGACGAAAGTGAAGCTGAAAAGGCTGTTAAAAGAAGAGGAAACAGAACATGGAAACAGAGTATTCTGCACTAGAAGGTGTTGCAAGAGTTAATACACTTGTAAACTTACCAAGATTTGTGCCTGGAAAGTGAAAACTAAAAAAGAGAGAAGAAGTTTGAAGTGAAGTAGATGTTGAGTAGTGGTGATGACAAAACATAATCAAATAAAGCAGCCATTGGAGGTAGTACTGTGTGTAAAGTAAATAAGAACTTTGGGAAAACTGTGTGTTTATTCCTCAGGAGAAGATCTCCTTATATACGTATGTACATGACTCGAGATTAACACCAACAATACTGGTGATTATCTACAATATTTACATCATTATCAAACATAATATTCTCCTAAAACTTAGGACTTATCTAGACATATCTCAACACTCCCCTTCAAGTTGGAGAGTGTAAATCACAAACTCCCAACTTGGACAGTATGTAGTCAAAACTATACCTCCCCAAACCTTTAGTAAGTATATCTGCCAATTGCTCTGTAGTTCGCACATGTCGTGTAGTTATCAGACGACTCTTCACCGCATCTCGAACAGAATGACAATCAGACTCTATATGTTTTGTTCGCTCATGAAATACTGGGTTGGCTGCAATATATATTGCCGATTTGCTGTCACAGTACATGTCCATTGGACCATTCTGATAAACTCCAAAATCTGCAAGTAGTCGCTTCATCCATTTTAATTCTTTAAGAGCATCAGACATTGCCCTATATTCGGCCTCTGCTGAAGAATGTGAAACGGTATCCTGCTTCTTAGTCTTCCACGCAACCGGCGAACCACCTATCTGAACCACAAATGCTGACAAAGAACGTCGAGTGCGCGGACATGAATTCCAATCAGAGTCGCACCAAATTTGTACTCGTAACGAGCTCTCAGACGTCAACATAATACCCTGACCCGGTGTTCCTTTAAGATACCGTAGAACTCTCACTGCTGCATCCCAGTGACCTTGTCGAGGTTTGTGCATAACTTGAGACAACACATGCACTGCATAACACAGCTCAGGCCGTGTGATGGTTAAATAAACCAGTCGTCCCACCACTCGCCGAAAACGTACTGGATCTTCAAGAAGAGGACTGTCATCAGATAGTAACGTGTGATTCTGCTCCACTGGAATAGATAGAGGCTTACACCCAAGAAGTCCAGCATCTGCAATGATATCTAACGCGTACTTTCGCTGAGAGAGAAAGAAACCACCTGTCCCTCTTGCAACTTCAATACCCAAGAAGTACTTAGCTCTACCAAGATCTTTCATGCGAAAACATTTACTGAGATACTCCTTAAATCTAACCAACATGGCTAGATCATTGCAGCATACTATTAAATCATCAACATAGATAAGAACTCGTAGACTGTCATCTCCCCGTATATAAGTAAATAGTGAATAATCTTCATAAGATTGTATGAAACCAAACCTCAATAGAGCTTCACTCAACTTTGCGAACCAACATCTAGGCGCCTGTTTGAGGCCATATAAAGACTTGCGTAGCTTACATACCAGTGTTGGATCAACAGTCTTATAACCTGGGGGCGGTTTCATATATACTTCTTCCTCCAAATCACCATGAAGAAAAGCATTGCACACATCCATTTGGTGAACCTCCCATCCTTTCACTGCAGCAATTTTAAACAAAGTACGAACCGTTGTAAGTTTAGCAACAGGTGCAAAAGTCTCACCATAATCCTCCCCTTCAATTTGTCTGTTCCCACAAACCACCAGACGTGCCTTAGGTCTTTCTACTGTCCCATCGGCGTTGAATTTCAACTTATATACCCACATACTCTGAAGTGCTGTTTTGCCTGGCGGAAGACGTGTAAGATCCCAAGTTCTCTGGTCTTCAAGTGAAGCAATTTCACAAGACATGGCAGTACGCCAGATCTCATTCTCCATGGCTTCTTTAAAACTTCTTGGTTCGACTCCAGCAGTCACTGCTGCTAGAAAAACACGGTGATACGCAGAAAACAGATCATCTGAAACATAATGTTCAAGAGGATAAGGTGTACCTGGACGCGTTTGAGAGGACCCGGAGCCAGTTAGAGCAGAAGGTGTATGTTTATCGGGAGCTGCCAACACCTTGGCATTATAAGTGACGTAGTCTCTGAGACGAACCGACGTAGTCTTCTCACGCTGTCCCCTCCCCATTGCAGGTTCAGTTATCTCAACATGAGGTTCAGACTCTGCTGGTGGAGACTCATGTAACTCAGGTGTCTCAGCTAAATCTTCTTGTACTACACTACTCCCCTTGGACTCGAGATCATCATCCACAGGATTCGTAGGAATGGTAACAGGGGAGGAAGCATCATCCTCATGATAAGGAAACACTGTCTCATCAAACACAACGTCGCGTGATATTAGAAACTCATTACTCTGAAGATCATACAATCTCCATCCTTTCTTTCCATGAGGATACCCCACAAATATACACTTTCGACTTCTTTCACCGAACTTATCTTTATCTCTAGTATACTTACTAGCGTAGCATAAACATCCAAACGTTTTGATTGTAGTATAAGATGGCTTCTCTCCATATAAGCACTCGTAAGGAGATTTCCCCTGCAACAAGGTAGAGGGTGTCCGATTGATAACATGTGCTGCTGTCAAAACACTCTCTCCCCAAAACTTTGTAGGTAGGTTTGATTGAAATAGCAGAGATCTGGACACGTTGAGAATGTGACGATGTTTCCTTTCCACTCTCCCGTTTTGTTGTGGAGATGCTACGCAAGAGGTCTGATGGAGAATACCATTCTCGTTGAAGTATCGTTTTAAACAAAGAAATTCAGACCCATTGTCCGACCTAACAATTTTAACAAGCTTCCCAAACTGTCGATGAACCATGGCACAGAAGTTTGGTAGCATTGTGCGTACTTCACTTTTTTTCGAGTAATAAGTAGATCCAAACGGCTCGTGAAAAATCATCAACTATCGTAAGGAAATAAGTAGCACCGCAAGAAGAAGGAATCCTATAGGGACCCCATAAGTCTACGTGAATCAAACCAAAAATCTCAGATGCTTTATTATAACTTTCATAGAAAACTTCTCTTGTTTGCTTTGACTTAAAACATGTTTCACAACCACCAAACTTGTCGTGAATGTTCTTAACACCAACAATAAAAGGTAAAAAACCGAGAACACCATAAGCAGGGTGACCCAATCGCCTATGCCACAATGCTTGATCCTCAGCGGCTCTCACTCTGTGACTCCTAGCAATTGTTACTCCCCGATAAACATAAACACCATTCCGTACTTCACCGACTCCAATCAGGGTCCTCGTAAAACGGTCCTGCAATATACACAATGTATCAGTAAGTACCGCAAAACAACCAGTTTTCCTTAATATCTTGGCAACCGACAACAAAGTGCAGTTAAGATTTGGAACAAATAGCACATTCTCCAAAGATATGTCCTTGGAAAGAGATAAGCAACCAGACTTAGTTGCATATACCACACTTCCATCCGCAAAAGAAATAGGACATGGCGGAATAGATTTCACCGACTCAAGGATATGAACATCACCAGTCATGTGGTGTGATGCCCCTGAGTCAAGTATTACTTCTCCAGTCTGAACCTTACCACTTAAACGATCAGGAACAGGGGTTGGTTTTTGTTGTTCAAGTAGCTGTGTAAGTGAGGCCCATTGCTCGGCAGTAAACGTCGGAAACGCACCAGGAGCTGGGGCTTGCGCGGCGTTGGACCTGTACTGAGGCTGCTGTTGTTGTTGTTGAGAGGAAAAATTTCCTCGACCTCCTCTCCCTCTCGTAGAACCTCCCCTGCCTCTCGAGTTTGATACTCTGTTTCCACGATCTGATTGATTCTGATTCTTCTCCAACCACCAGTCTGGAAAACCGATAATCTGCCAACAATCTTTCTTGTCATGGCCACTGCGACCACAGTGTGAGCATACCAATGTTGATCGAGCAGTAGTCACCGCTGTTGTATTGAAACTGTGAACCACATCTTGATCAGAACTTGCGCTAAAACCAACAACTTCGGCTTTTACATCAGAACGAACAGAGGCTAATCTCCTCTCTTCACGAACCACACGTTGATAAACACTATTCAGATCGGGAAGTGGCTCCAACGATATTATGTTTGTCACCACGTTTCCAAACCTTACTTCATCAAGACCCATCAAGAACTGATGGACGCGTTCCTCTTCATGATCTTTCACGATTTTCGCCATAGCCGAACAAGTACACTTCGGCAGAGGTTTATAAGTGAGTAACTCCTCCCACCTAATGGACAACTTACCAAAGTAGTCCATAACACTCATCCCTTCTTGTCTGCACGCAGCCAACTCGGCCCTTATCTGATGAGCACGCACTGCATTCCCGATCGAGAAACGCTGCATCAGATCACCCCACAACCTGTGAGCATCAGTCGTAAAAGTCACAGTTGAACGAATCTTAGGCGAAATCGACGCCCTTATCCACCCAATGATCATGGAATTCACCGTATTCCAGATCTCAAGATCACCAGAATCATCTGATGGTTTTGGTAACGTTCCATCAATGAAACCAAATTTACGCTTTGCACGCAAAGCATTCTCCAACTCAGAAGCCCATTCAGCGTAGTTATCACCCGTAAGTTGCACCGGAGAGATAGCAATTCCCGGATTATCAGATGACGCGAGCTCGTACGGCGAACGTAACTTCTTGACTACGGCAACTGCTGTATCAGATTTTTCTCCCATGATAATACGTAAACTAAAGAAATTTAAAGAGTATTTGGCTCTGATACCATGTAAAGTAAATAAGAACTTTGGGAAAACTGTGTGTTTATTCCTCAGGAGAAGATCTCCTTATATACGTATGTACATGACTCGAGATTAACACCAACAATACTGGTGATTATCTACAATATTTACATCATTATCAAACATAATATTCTCCTAAAACTTAGGACTTATCTAGACATATCTCAACACTGTGCCTACATTGGTCTCTTATTCATTTTTCTACAAGTAGAGATTCATTGGTTTCGGAACATGAAGTTTTGTCAGTTTTGTCTTTGGTTCTTGTTGATGTCAGTAACGAAGAGAGGAAAAAAACATCACAGGATGTAATAAGGCTCGTGTCTGAAAACCCCTCAAGCTTAATTTTTTTCTGTCTGAATGGGGGAATATTTACTGTTTTTTTATCTTTTTGTAAAAAGCTCCAATAACTTTTAGATTTGTGTCAATAGCTCTTTAAACTCATGATTGGTTCAAACAAAATGGGAATCAGATCCTTTACTGATAACAACAGACGAGCATGAACTACTAGTACATGTGGTATTTATCTCAAACAGTAGTGTGAATACGGAACGTAGAGAACACGGCAAAGCAATTAGTTAAATACTTGTTGGTATAATGAAATGAATCTTGAACCATATGCAAGGTAAGCTCTGGATACGTAGCCAAAAAATGTTACGAACTCTATAATAAAAGACAGAGACTATTCATTATACAAAGCTAAAATAAATTGTATCGACTTCATTAGGAATATAGTTAGTAAACCGGTTTTAAAAGACCGAATATAGACCGGAGATTTTTCGGTTCATCATGTTATCAAATAATCATTTGGTCCGAGTGTGGGCAAAAGAAAGCAAAGGTCGAAAACGAAATCCATTTCCCACTTACCAGTAAGCTCTCTTTTACTTCTTTCTTCTCAAAGTTTGATACTTTTATCCATTTAGTTGTGTTCTGTAGTCTTGCTTAAGCTGGGAATGTATTAACTTTTTCTTGTTATCTCCCACGTAATTTCTCTGGGTCTGCTCTTGGAATGCAATAAAGTCTGAGGACTGAGATGTAATGATTCTTTTCTAGTTTTCATTTTTTGTTGTTGAATCCTCTGTAGTTTTGGAGATTGTACGAACTTGTGGAGCAATGTTGGACTTTATTGTTAATGCCCATAACGTGTTCGTCAAAATGCCTGCTTGAGAATTTTAGATTTGGTTTCAGTTTTTGATCGAATAAACGACACCTGTAATTAAGCTTAATCGAATTGTGTCCTTCAAAATTTCTCGGCTTTTCAGTTTTACAGTTAGCCAGGCTAGTTTTTTTTCTTTTTGGTTTCAGCTTGTGCATTTTTAAGTGCATTTACAGTATATGTTTGCTTAGAGTTTTAGAGCATAAATATCCGTAATTCACCATTCTTTTTCAGCTAATGCTGTTTCTATTTGTTTTTCAGTAGCATATTATAGACCCAAACCTATGGCATATGCAACAGGAATGACGCTTGCTTCAAAGACTATCTTCCCTCTTTGTTCCAGAACCTTCTTAACTCCCTTACGTGTAGCTTCTTTGTTTGGTTTTCCTGAGAAAACTTCCTCCTCCACTTTCTTCACAAGGGTCCAAGACACTTCTACAACTCGTCTCTTCTCCTCTGTTAAGTGTTCTACTTCCTCTCTTGAGACAGGGGAGAATCAACCTGCTTCTCGCCCTAATGTAGTTGATATACTCCAAGAAAGAGGACTCCTAGAGTCAATCACCAGCGAGAATCTCAGGTCTACTTGTTCTGATCCTAATGTCGCTCCTCTGAAGGTCTACTGCGGGTTTGATCCTACGGCTGAGAGTTTACACTTGGGTAATCTCCTTGGTATCATTGTCCTTTCTTGGTTCCAAAGATGTGGACATCAAGCAGTTGGTTTGATTGGTGGTGCCACTGGACGCGTTGGTGACCCATCTGGCAAAAGCCTAGAAAGGCCTGAGCTTGACGCTGCTACATTAGAGAAAAACATTGCCGGGATTAAAAAAATCATCGTCAAGATTCTTGGTGGCAACAATGCTGCTAGGTCTTATGTGATTTTTAATAACTATGACTGGTGGAAAGATATGACAATGCTGGATTTTCTGAAAAAGGTTGGTCGGTTTGCTAGAGTTGGACCAATGCTGGCGAAGGAGAGTGTGAAGACGAGGTTAGAATCAGAGCAAGGTATGAGCTACACCGAGCTCAGTTATCAGTTACTGCAAGGATATGACTTTGTTCACTTGTTCGACAAGGAAGGGGTCAATGTTCAGATAGGTGGGAGTGATCAATGGGGAAACATAACAGCTGGAACTGATTTGATCCGTAAGATTCTCCAAAAAACCGAAGAAGCTGCTTACGGGCTAACATTCCCTCTCTTACTGAAAAGCGATGGGACAAAGTTCGGAAAATCAGAAGATGGAGCCATTTGGTTATCTCCTTCCATGTTATCACCTTATAAGTTCTATCAGTACTTCTTCTCAGTTCCAGACGTTGATGTGATACGCTTCTTAAAGAGACTAACCTTTCTGAGTTTGGATGAGATCAAGGTGTTGGAAGATGAGATGAAGAAACCTGGTTATGTCCCTAACACTGCGCAAATGAAGCTCGCTGAAGAAGTGACCAGATTTGTACATGGTGAAGAGGGTTTGAAGGAAGCCATGAAAGCAACGGAGGCTTTAAGACCGGGAGCTGAGACAAAGCTTGATTGGAACTTGATTGAGAGGATTGCAGAGGATATACCAACTTGCTCACTGCCTGTTGATAGAGTCTCTGGTGTTTCGATTGTGGATGTATCGATTTCTGCAGGGTTGTTTGAGAGCAAATCTGCAGCAAGGAGGATGTTGAAGCAAGGTGGGGTTTATATGAACAATGAGAGAGTTGATGATGAGAATAAGAGAGTTGAAGAAGATGACATTGTTGAAGGGAAAGGTCTTGTTCTCTCTTCAGGCAAGAAGAACAAAGTGGTCATCAGAATTTCCTAAGATTTTTTTTATAGAAGTGATGTATTATTTGGTTTACATTTTCACCAGTTTACGGATACAAAACCGGAAACTAAAAAATAAACACCATTTATTGGAGAATGCTTGAGGACAATATAGGGAATGCCACCAAAGCAAAAACAATGTTATCTTTTGGGATTTCAAACCAAGAAACATTTTAAAAAGCTATTCCAGATTGATAGAACAAAATGTAAAGATAGAATCTAAGTTCTATGCTGCAGCAAGTAAACCAACATCTTCGTTTACTTTGCCTTCAGATTGCATCTCTTTAACTGCTCTTATTAACCCCTGGGTAATGGCATTGAGATGCAAACCCTTTTGCTTCATCTCCTCAAACAGCATCTCTGCTTTTTCCCAGTCCAATGCTTTGAGGCAGAATGATTGTATCACCTTACTATACTCATCCGCACTAGGCTTCACTCCGAAACTCTCCATTTCATTCAAAAGCTTAAGAGCTTCATCATACTCTTCAATCTTGCAGTATCCTCGGATGAGTGTGTGATACGTCACGGGACTAAGCTTCTTATGTTTCCTTTTCGCTTCCATGAGCATCTCTTGAGTTTCCTTCATCATCCCTCCTTTAGCATAACCGCTTATGATGACGGTGTATGTGTACACGTCTGGTTTCAAACCTCTACTCTCCATCAACTTCAAAACATCTTTGGCTTCACCAAGATCTCCACTTCTCGAACAAGCGTGTACAATCAAATTGAACACAGCGTTCCCAGGAGCAGGCCCTTTCGAGATCATATCCAAAAGCAAAGCCTTAGCGTCTTTAACATTCTTCATCCTGCATAAACTATGCATCACATCAGAAAACGGTTTGATCCCATGTCTCCTATCTTCCCCAGATAAATCACCCAACATCTCCTGAGCAAACGCCACAGTCCCATCATTCTTGCAGAGCGCACTTATCAGAGTAGCAACAGATCCACTAGGCAGCAACTTCTCTTTCCCCTTAGCTAATTCATAAACCGAATAAGCCTCTTCAGCCTTCCCTTCCTTACAAAACCAAGTCATGATGTCACCAATCTCCTCTCCCTCTGGTAACACACCACTCTTAAGCATCTTCTCACACACAACGCACGCCCATTCCATAAACGACCTCTTACAAAGCGCCTCCAACGTCACATAATAAGTCTTAGCATCCGGAGTAAACCCGAACTCTTCTGTCTTACTAAACACATCAAAAGCAGCTTTGGACTTACCAAGCTTACCAAACAAAGCTATCAACTCATTCATTATCTCCAGATTCAAAACAACACAAGTACTATTCTCATTCTCACCAATCTCTTTAACCAAGTCCCACAAAGCATAAGCATTCAATCTACGTCCCTCAACGGATATCGCTACAAGGAGAGACTCCACAAGTGATGTGGTGATAATAATTTCTTCTTTCTTAGTTGCCCATTTGAAAAACCTAATCAAGCTCTTACCTGAGATACCTGGAGATTCAAACACTCTCATTACAAGTTTTAAGTTTAAATCGACATCAAGCGACTTCAGACCAAACTCCAAAGACTCCTCATCACTTCGTAATAAAGATAGCAAAGATTCAAACTTTTCCTCATCAAACTGGGTCACCTCCTCCTCGACTTCTGCAACGGATCCATCTTCAGAAGCCTCAGCTGTAACAATCTCGGATTCTCCATCTTCAACAACACCAACAATGGCTTCTGTGGAGGTGCCATTTACATCAAAATCGCGACTTTCGGAAAACCCAGAATCGGAATCATTCGATTCTGATGGAAATGGGTTCTCTTCAGTAGGGTTTGTGGAGAAGAACCTGAGGATTGGGGCAGAAGCATTTGCGGATGACTCGGCGTATGAGAATCTGAAATGGGATGTTAGCGATGGCTTCTTCGTGGAGATGCGAGTAACGAAGAGGTTCCGAGAGGCATTTTGCGATCGGCATAATATGGATCTCCACATTGCTTTTTTTCTCACAGGCTATCTTCTTCAGCTGCAGTTTCTGATGGTTAAACCCCAAAACCCCTATTCGCTCTCTCAATTTCTATTTTAAGCTTTTGCGTATTTGAGGTTATAATTGGAAGGAATAAAAAAGTGGAGGACTTCTACTGCAAAACAAATAGTTTTCTTTTTTCGAATTCAGATTTACATCGAGTCTTTCTTCTTTCATCTGATAGTATTAGTAACATAAGAAAAAGAAGGAACAGATAGCTTTTTGTTTTGCAGTTATGGTTTCATCGAGACTTTACTCAGTTTCAGTTCTATTAAAAATGTTTTCTAAAGTTTCATATTTGTTGTGGTAACTGCAAGAGAGAAAACCATTGAGTTTACAAACCATTCTTTATTTATGAGAGAACATTATTCGGTACTGATACAAGGAAAAGATAAGCAAATATAAAAGAAGCCAACTCGTAAGTCATGTTCTTGGGTAACGAGACACTGTTACTACAAACACTCATAACAGCTTTTTTGGTCTCAACTAATTCGAACAAAACACATAGTCTAACAACATAACTTTATCTACAATGTTCCGTGTAAAACAAAACATTATTCAAATGATCGTTCGTGCTCTTAAATTTATGGGATGATTTGAAAGAGAACTGTTTACTTAGGCCCTAATCTCTCGACCAAAAATCCAGCTGAATGGTACGTTTTTGGCTGCTTCTTTGGCTCTTCCTTGAGCTCTCTCCTCGATTCTGCGGATTCTTGCAGGTAATCCGCAGACAAAGTCCTGTCAAAGGCAACGATAGAGTCAGAGTTAAAGTTAACGTCGAGATCATATACTCAAAATAGAGCAAGCAGTCCAGCACACACACTATTCATAACCAAAAACTACTTATAGGGTTCATCACAATTCGAATACTATAAAGTAAAGAGAAAATATCAATGGTGGCAATTTACCTGGGCCCTGTGTCCTTCACTAGAAAGGCCTGACATAGTCTCAACGTTCCACCGTTCAACAAGAAACTCCAGAATATCAGCATAGTCCTTGGCAGTGTAGACACCAAGCCTCTGGGCAACGGTTGAGAAGTGCTCAAATAAGTTATCATCTTGGCCATCATACATCAAATGTGCAGGCATTGAGATCTTTTTCTTCATCATATCAGCCAATCCCAGGATCGTGCCATCAGCATCAATTTCAAAGAGCTTCTCTACAATCTTGGTGTATGCAGTCTCATGGCGCTTCTCATCAGCAGCAATAGTCCCGCATATCTGCGCAAGTTTCAAGTCTCCACGATCTTTAGCCAGTCTAGCAGTGTTTCCATGGGAGATGAAGGTCGCTCTTTCTTGGAAAGAAGTGTAGATGAAACCCAAGTAAGGGTTATTTTCAGTTTTTGGATCCTACAAAGACAAACAATCAATTCAAATAAGTAGGCATTTGTCTTGCCATCAAAAGTCAAACTTTACTACAACACACAAATGCAATACAGCGTCTAAGGGATGTATCAAAGATCCTAAAGCAAACAAATATCGGAAGAGCTTACCATTCCAGAGCCAATGAGGTACTGAATAGTCTTTTCAATCTGCCTCATGTCAACTCTCCCAGACAAATAAAGATACTTGTTAAGCAGATCCCCATGCCTATTCTCTTCAGCAGTCCAAGCCCTAGTCCAAATCGCCCAAGGAGTAGGACTTGCTCCAGTCTCATCCCTAACACCATCCAAGGTGTTCAACATGGTCTGGTAAGTCGGAAGTGCTTCTTCTGTGATCATATCACCAACAAGCACCACAAAATACTCATCTGGAAGCTCCTTACACCTTTCTCTCAACTCCTTGACTTGGTCATAGAACCCTTCTGACTCAGCTTCCGGAAGAAAATCGGTCGGCTGCCATGATTTCTCAACAGGTTTTAAATAAGTCAAGAGGGTTTCATCAGCCCATCCTTCTAAGGACTTGAAGATCTCCAACTTTTCTGGTGGCATAGAGTGTTTCACTTGGACATGTACCTCTCGTGGAGGGATGTAAAGTTTCCTTCCATTCGTAACCTCTCTGTAATTAGCCAAATGTAATTTCAAATTCAAAAGGACTTCAGCGAGTGATAAAAGAATCAGACTAAGCAGCTACTATACAGCAATCCTTAACAACCCCTTGAGTATATCTGTTCCCTTCAGTAATAGCAAATATTGAAAATGCATGAATCTCCATTTCCCACAAAAACTAGCAGAACAAGAAGATTGATACCCAAAGATTAAGAAATTGCAAATAAAGATGAGTTGAAATTTCCGTGTTTTTCAGGTAACCAATTAGCAAAAGAGTAAAAATTTTGTTTTTTTCAAATTAAGAAACACATCAGACACAGACAGAGCAGATCACAAGACGAGTTCTTGTAGGAAAAAAAAAAGAAAGAGAATGAAATTAAGAGAGACTAATTTTGCGATACAAATGCCCACCATAAAAATGATAAAAAGAGAGAAATTGCAGTGAAAAACAAGTAAGCTCAGTCTAGTAAAAAGAAAAAAAAAGAAAAAAAAAAGCTCAATCAAGTATAATTCTTCAGAAGTAAAGGCAATAAAAGTCCAGAGAATTTTGATCTAATATATGATAACAAATTAACATACATAGATGTACATTGACATGCATGCATACAGTATACGCATGGATATAAAAAGGAAACTCACATCTGTACAAAAAAAAACATTTTAAATGATGTATGGAGGTATATGAGTTTCTCTCAAAGAAACAAACAAGAGACTGAGAAAACGATTAGCAGAGTAGTGGGCCAACAACCAGTAAGTAAACACAAAACAACTATAGTATAAGGAAAACAAGAGTTTAGCAATATTCAAATGAATTGTTGACAAAGATTTGCTTATAGCAAAATGAAATTGCATTGTGTAAAATAAACTGATCAAACCGATACCAGATATTTATCATCGATCAACACTTAATCTAAAACCCCAGATCATAAAATAATTCGAGGATGAAGCGAGAGAAAAAAAAAAAACTCACGTAGAAGCAGAGCGAATCGTAGAAGCCATGGAAACAATGGAAGATCTGGATCCCCGAGCTTGAGAGGAGCGGCAGACGTAAGAAGAAGGCGAAACGACGATCCGATCCATAGCCATAGCCATTTTCCTCTACTTTCTTTTCTCGAAGAAACTCGATCAGTGGAAGATGGAAGAGCTTTCTTCGATTATTTCTATGCTGCTGCTACGAGACTGTGACAAATGTGAAGGTTTTAAATGAGAGTAAGTAACAAAAGTTTTGGGCTTTAAAAGGCCCATGGGCCGAATCTTTATAGCCCATTATTACACTACCTTCACTAAACGCATGATCTTTGGGTCGCGTTTTCTTCATTAGTTTCGTTTTACCCCATAAGCGTTTTGACTTAACATATGGTTCGATTAACAAATTAAAAGCAGTAAATTTTAACCAGTACCTAACACTGTAAACCGGGGTTTTGTATAACCAAACACAAAACTGACAAGTAATCAAACAAAAGAATCTATAAGAACAGAAGTAGGTGTCCTAAAACCAGCTTCAGTGTTTTTTACTTTCATATATCTCAGCCTCTAGGCTGCACTCTACCAGTTTCTACATCATCTTCTACTCTCCTCATACTCGGATTATCCACCAAATGCAGTCCCATAAACCCACCGTCTTCCTCTTCACCGGTATCACCCTGTGGTGGTCGTTGCCCTGCTTCATCAGCAGCTGCTTGCGCTTGAGCTCGTGCCGCTTCCAACACTAGGAAGTAAGCATATGGTCCCCAAGCTGAAAAAAAAAAAAGATCATACATTTGTTGTTCAATTCACAACACTATCTTCTCAAATAAAATCCACACTTCTTTTCTTTTTACCTTCGGTGCGATATGGTGGCGGGAAGAATTGAAGGTAACAGAACGTAGAGACCACAAGACCTGAGAATATTAGACGATGTTATAAGTTTTTTTATGATGTTTAAAGGGGAAACAAGTTTTGATGTGAAACACAAACCTAGCAAGCCTCCAGCAAAGACGTCTTGCCAGTGATGCCAATAGTCATCTACACGGGATATACCAACAAGAGCTGCAACTAGCAAAGGGAGTATGACAATGCATAGCTTTGCAACGTGTCCTTTACCGTCAAACGCTCGAATCTTCCCTGATAAGTACAGTGACAAGAATCCTAGTCCCGCAAATGACCCTACCAAAACCCAAAAACAAACTTAATATTCACTCTTTTGCTTCTTTCTAGTTCTGTATTAATGCTCAAGAGGGTTGGTTGGGTCTTACATGAAGTGTGTCCACTTGGGAAGCTTTTATGCCCTTCCCTTATAACGCTTTTATCACCATGACATATCACATCACCGAGGCTATCATAAACCTGAGAAGCAAAAAAAAAAAAAAAAACTCAAGAGAGAGAACATGAACTAATAAACACATACAATTTAGTAAAAAAATCATTTACAGCTTTGCCATCAGGAAAACAACGCCAGAAGAAGTCAGGGCGTGGTCTACCAACTGCATTCTTTATTGAATCTGTAAGCACTGCTGTCACCAGAACAGAGTATAACAAGCCTAGCACCGCATGATGGAGATCGTATACGTCTCTTCTTCGGAAGTAAATACAGACAAAGATTACTAATGGCAACAACATCGCATAGACCTGTCATTTCGAAGAAGGGATGGTTATTATGTTGTGAAAAATGTCTACAGTCAATGTAATGACTCTGAGTTAACGGAAGCTTTACCGGGACAGACCAAATAGGTACAGTGTTACTCTTTAAAGGGTAGCTTAGATCAGTCATCATGTCTTTACCGACAAAGCGGTAGAAAGGGTGGATTATAAGGAGTATGCCCTCGAGGATAACGAGTAATACGAGTATGATCCAGTCGTGCATGTGAGTTCTTGCAACTGTCATTCCATGGGACCTCAAAGTGTGAGCTTCTCCTTGTTGTGCCTCTCTCATCCTGTCCTGCCTGGAGACATATAAGTATGAAATTAATCAAAGAATCTTCCCTTTTCTCTTTACATTTAAGCGGCCACAGAGATGTAAAAACTAAAAACAACAATCTAAGCAAGAAAGGTACGTCTAGTGTGTGAAAAGAGCAACATGCCAACATGGACTAGACTCGCCAAAAACCATTGAGGAAAAGACAAATACAATAAGGGGTACCTCTTTACTATTGGGTGTGAGACGCAATTATCAGCTGTCTGTGAAATCTCAGGTCACCGGTTTGTCACAGCCTAAGATCAAGAATCACAAACTGTCCCGATAGTAAGTTTTTTACAGAGAATACCACTGTCAACGTTTCTAACGACTTGGTAATTCTATAATTAACAGCTCATTGTTTATTATATATACATAGAGAATGTGAAAAGAAGGTGAGAGATGGAGATATTGTCAGTTCACAGGTAAGCTAAATCTGTCATTGCAATAACTAAAACTGGTTTTGTTCTGATCTGACAAAAGCTCATTCTTCTATATTAATCCCACCTAATACAAGAACCATTTCTATTACAAGCTGGAAACTAAAGTTTTTATAAGAAGCCTACCAGCTTATCTATAAAGAAGTCTAAACACAGAAACCACAAGAGAAAAGAAGAGAGGTGGAATCCTTTATAAATTGAGCTCAAAAGAGATTCTTACTATTATTGAACAAAAAAAGCATGATTAAGTAGATTGTGATCTCACCTAAACGAATCTGGAACCAATAATCAATCAATAACCTACGAACTTAACCAACACACACAATAAAAAAAAAATATAGCCTTTTAGCGAAGGAGTGCATCAATTTGAAGTTGGGATACTCAGAACCGAACAATTTTAAAATATTTCCAAAACCATTGGCAAGAACCGACAAACCTGGGAAAAAACCACCAAAACGAGGAACAGGCGTCGTGTGGTAACGTAGCAGTTAAAAGTCCTAAAAGTTAGTTGAAGAGTAGCAATAAAGAGAAAAAGAATAGCTGGTGGAAAAAAGTAGACAAGAATTAAGATTCAAGAAAGAGGAAGTAGACAGGTAAAGAAAGCCATCGTAATGAGTAGATGAAACCCAATTCAACATCAAAAGTAAGCCAAGTAGAGCTACACAGGAGTAACTCTGTGGGGACAACCTAATCGTACACAAGTGGGAGCAGTGGCAATCTAAATGTTTTGTATGTCGACACAAATACTAACCCATGTGAAAGGAACGACCTTTATTCTCCCATGAATATACAAAAGTAGATTTTCTTTTAAAAAAAATAGAACTAGAGAGTGAAAAAGTACCTGACTCTGTTCGATTATCTCGTGTCTGAAAAAGCAGAAAAGAAGGAGTTATAACCGACTCTGGTCGGATTCGGCTTATGGGATGTTTTGAAGGAAGAAAACGTGGGTTGGTGTTAAAAAGAGGTGTTTTATATTTTGGTGGCGGATGAAACAGAGAGAGAGCAGCACGCGTCTTGATGCACTCATGATTCAACACATTTTATAACAGATAACAGCGTTATATTTGGGATGAAAATAGAGTCTTGATGCAACTACATCAGTTTTAGACTTAAATTTTTATTTTTATTTGGATCTAGATGTTAAGATAGACTTCAATTTTCTTATCTGTTATGTTTATTGAAATTTGATTTGTTTTCTAATTTTTCTACTTTATTGATTTCTAACCTTAACTGAAAAAATAACTATCTATTTACACTAAAACTATTGTATAAGATCATGTGAGAATTAATGCCACATAAATCAAAGTTTAGATTCTATCTATTCTTTGACCAAAAAAAAAAAAAAGATTCTATCTATTCATTAAATGAGAATTAAATATATGTTTCCTCATAAATCAAAGTTTAAATTGTATTTATCTCTTAATTAAAGTTTGAACCATGATTAAGTTTAGTTTATATATCAATACATGTTTAACCAGTAAACACCAATATCTGATTAAAGTAATTAATCTTTCACCTACCCGAAATAAACCCTTAAACTTTAAACTAAAAACCAAAAATAAAAATCATTAGGGATTAAGTAATCTTATTTTCGAATTTTGGTGATTTCAGGATTTTGACCTTTTGATTTTCAAGATTAGAGTTTTATTTAGGGTGTGTGGAAGACTAGTTACTTTATTCAGATTGTTTTGTTTAATTTAGGTTATGTTTGATGTCTAATAGTTAAGTAATTTATTAAACCAAGTTTAGTTATTGTCTGAGTGCAAATTGATATCGAATTTTTAATTCAGGAATAAATACAATCAAATCTTGAACATATGAGAAAATTCGTATTTAATTTTCGCTTGATAGATATGTAGAATGAAATCTTATTATCTTCATTTAATCATGATGCTATATGATAGTTGTTATGGAAAAATATATCGCTAACCGCTAGAAAAAGAGACAAACTACATCATGTTATATGTGCTATAAATTTTATAGATATGTTTTGTGATTTATGTGGTCACATAAGAGTTATAAAGAAAAAATAAAATTAAAATTAAAACTTAGTGCAAAATTATTAAGAAAAAAATAAAATTTTGGAAATTATTAATGATAATTATATAAGATATATTTAAATCTGTAGTATTATTTGAGAAGTAAATTTGCTTAGTTGTTATATTCTCCATAATTTTAGGTATTTTTGCTTTTCTATCATGTTTTTATGATTTTGACTAATGATTAATTATTACCATTAATGTATAATTAGTTTTAATGTATAATTAACTATAAATTAAAAAAAAATATTAATATATAATTAACCTTAACTAAAAACAAATTTCATTGATTGGATGATTTTCATTATCTAAAAATATTTTATATTAATTAACCATAAACTAAAAATAAATTAATATATAATTGGCCATTAACTAAAAATAAATTTCATTGATTGATAATTATCATTATCTAAAAATAGTTTATATTATGTCATAAAGTCTTTATTAACGTTAATGAACAATTATATTTGTTAATATATAATTAAAAATAAACTTCATTGATTTGATCAAAATTATTTATGTTACGATAAAAACTTGTATATATAAAGAGTTTATTGTTTATTTTTCGAATATTTGTAAAATTATTATGTTTGTACATGCGGGTAAAACACATAGTTATTAAGGATAAGTGGATAACTCTATAATTGATTTTTTTAGAGATTAACATAAGCAAAAACACATATGAAACTAACTTCCCAAATAATACTAGAGAGATATTTTTTTAAAAAAATCAAAATTTTAACCAAAAAAAAGAATCGGCTAGAGTAAATCACCTGTAAAATGAGTTTCTTAAACTGTTGTGAAAGTGAAAGTTTCCATGCAGAGAATTTTTCTCATCTTTAGAGTCTCTCTTATGCTTTTTGATATACAGTTTTATTATTATAAGGTTGAGAAACTGAATAGATATCACCCGTAATTATGCCTCATGGAATCATTCAGCTTTTGAATCCAAATATCATGTTTTTGAAATGTCATCTTGCAAACATATTAGATCATATTTTCAAAACAAATATATTAAAGCATGAATAATGGGGGTTCTTAGCGTAGTATAAGAAATCGTCTGTTAATTTTTAACTAAAAAAACTAAGAAGCGACTCTTAAATATCTTATTTAAGAGTCAATTCTTAATTTTTTAGTTAAAAATTAAGAGAAGATTTCTTGTATTCCGTTGTTAAAAACCCCACTTTAAGATTTATTTTGACTAAAAAACTAAGAACCAGTTTTTAAATGTTTCATTACGTTAATAATCTCACCCAAAGAATTTTTCATTAATCATGCTCTTAGTTCACTGAAAGAGACAGACTCCGGGATACCCACAATATTTTAGCATTAAAGGTATGAAAGAAAAGTCAGAGACTTTGCGAGAAATAGTGCAAGCCTTGTTTCTTATTCCAACAAATTGATTACAAAGCTTTTAAGACTCACGAGAAGAACAACACATGCATGCAAGGAGAAAACAAATGTGAACTTTGAACATGAATCTCACTTTGTTTTTTCATCCAAGCTGTCATCTTCGGCTACAGGAACCTCAAGGGTGCCAAATAACCAATCCATCCAAATGGTATAATGACCATAGTTATGCTTGTAGGTAGTATGATGTATGGTATGGTATCCTGCACCCATTATCGGCCATACGTTACCATGGATGCAATCATAGATGCTCGCAGTCCATATCCCTTCCAAAAACAAAAGTGAGAACGCGAGCCCTGAAACAAAACAAAAACGTTATAAGCAAAAGGAGAGAGTGTGTTTTGAAACAGAGTTTTTGAGAGTGTGACGACGTACCAGCAAATGGAGAGAGTGTGTTTTGTTTGTTGTACATGTGATGAGTGGCATGGAGATGCTTATAGAGAAATTTAATGTCATGAAGCTCTTTGTGAACCCAATAAATCATAAACTCAACCAAAACAAGATAGAGTGCGATGTAAACCAAAGAGAGGAACCAGTTGAAATGGTCAAGTGTAGAGTAACATTTGGTCCAACCACGCTCGATCATATACTCAGAGACAGTTGGAAGAAGTGTGTACCAAGGCATAGCCTTCATCGCCACATGTATTTGCTTAAAAAAAATCATAACTAAAACAAAAACTATGATCCCTCTACTAACTGGTAATTAGTAAAAAGATAGATAGGATGACCTAAACAATTATTAATGGAATATAATGGAAGGGAAATTGTCTTTCATTTATTTCAATATTCTTTTAGCTGGAAGGATTTCTCAAAGAAATGTGATTTTTTCTCTGGAATGACATGGAATGTTGTGGACAAAATGAATACCTATTTTATTTTTATTTTTCATTTTAAGTGGTGAATATTTTTGGGAATGCAGTAGAATTAAGCATTCATGATGATTTTATTACATAAAAATGCAACAGATTTGCATTTATTTTTTCATTTTCAAGGTGATATAATATACTACATTTTAGCTCAAAATTCATCAAGAACTCGAAATTTTGACCACATAAATGAAAACAAGAAAGAAAGAAAAATGAGAGTAAAGTTACCTTTGGGGATGTAAACGTTGAGCTTAATGTAATAGATGTAGAAGCACCAGAGGAAGCCTGAGATGAAGTAAAGTAAGTTTCCGGCGAGGAATTCCGGAGCCATGTCTGGAGGAAATGTGGTAAAGGCTCCCACAGATTCGCCGTTACAAGGTGACTCAGGATGATACGGTTGTAAAACGTTGTCTCCTTGACGAACTGAGTAAGAAACCGATTATCTGCCGCCATGTATCCACCGTGAGAAAGTCAGACTCTGATAATGCGTTTTATGAGTGTGTGTGTGTGTGTGTGTGTGTGTGTGAGAGAGAGAGAGAGAGAGAGAGAGAGAGAATCTCTGCGTATAAATCGCTAGATGGAGGGACTTTAACGCCTTGTGAATAGTTAGTTATATGCCTTGCTCATGTTCCTTGCTATATACGTCACCTTCAAACATTTATTAATAATTATTTACAAGAAACCACCCCAACTTATATTCAGCCCCATGTTTTTGTTGGGTTTTATTATTAGAACCAAGGCATTGTGTGGGTTGGTAGTTCTGTAACAGAACTTCTTTTCAAGGATATTGCAACTAATGTTATTTGTAAAGTGACTTGCAGCAAGTGTCTCTAGGGTTTTTTTCTGAATATGAATAATATTTAGGGGTACTCTGCGTCATCTTTTCTCTGATTGTCAATAATGCTGATGACTTGTTAAACAAGAAAGAAGAATGTTTACATGGATTAAACTTTAGGGGCAACACTGCATCATCTTTTCAGATTTCTTACCTTAACTAGAAAAGACAAACAATGCCTCTTACATAGTGTTATATCTTTAATAACCTCACCATAAAGTATTTATAGTTTACTATTTTCTACAAAAAAAAAAGAGTAGGCTTTTGTAAAATTTGGCTAGACTTTTAATTGATTGTTAGAAAGGCTATGGTAAAACTGACACTGCAAAACCCCACACAAAATCTAAATAAAAATAAGACACATAGGCCTCAAATCATTCAGATTTTGAATCTAAAGATCCAAGTTTTGAAATGTTATCTTGCAACTATATAATATCATTGAAAGAGACTGATACCCACCATTTTAGCATTAAATATTAAAATGAAAGTCAGAAACTCTGCAGCAAATTGTGCAAGTCATATGTTTCTTATTCCAACAAACTGATTATACAAAACTTTAAGACTCACGAGAAGAACAACGTAACACATGCATGAAAGGGAAAACAACTGTGAACGTTGAACATATTGATCTCACTTAGTTTTCTGATCCAAGCCGTCATCTTCAGCTACAGGAACCTCAAGGGTGCCAAACATCCAATCCATCCAAATGGTATATTGACCATAGTTATGCTTGTATGTAGTATGGTGTATCGTATGGTACCCAGCACCCATTAAAGGCCAAATGCTACTGTCGATGCAGTCATGGATGTTCGTTGTCCATATCCCTCCTAAAAACAAAAGACTCAGATGCGTTTTGAGATGAACCGGCACTATAAACAGAGCTATCGCGTGCGGTGCAACCTGAAGTATCCCGTCCAATGGATGGAGCGCGAACCCTGAGAAAAAAAAAACGTTTTAAGTAAATGGGGAGAGTGTGTTTTGAAATTAGAGAGTTTGACTTACCAGCAAATGGAGAGAGTGTGTTATGTTTGTTGTACGTATGGTGGGTGGCATGGAGATTCTTATAGAGAAATTTAATGTCATGAAGACCTTTGTGAACCCAATAAATGGCAAACTCAACTATAACAAGATAGAAGACGATGTAAACAAAACAGATGAACCAGTTGAACTGGTCAAGTGTAGAGTAGCATTTGGTCCAACCACGCTCGATCATATACTCAGAGACAGTTGGGAAAAGTGAGTACCAAGGCATACCCTTCATTGCCACATGTATTTGCTGAATCATTGCGTTTCTTGTAGGAATAGACTCTGAAGTAAATTAGATTCATTAAAAACAAAAACAGAACTAAGACAAATTATAGTTAATAAAAATCTATAGTTGACAACTTTTTCATTCTGAAGTAAAATGTTTTCAATTAAATTTATTTATTATTTTTATTGCATAAATTATACTCTAAACACTAGAATTGTATATAAGAAACAAAACTAGAACATCAAGATTTTGTACAAGGAGGAAGCATATGAATATGAGATTTCACATCTAAATTTTGGATGGTACGTAAGATACAAAGGACTTGGAAGAATCAATTATTGCCATCTGATTTTAGATTTGGAAAGTAGGAAACTTAAAAAGTTTACCGACAACTTGAAACTTTAACCTCACAAATGAAAACAACCAAAAGCAGGAAACTAAAAGAAAGTCACCTTGGGGGATGTAAACATTGCGTTTAAGGTAATAGATGTAGAGGCACCAGAGGAAGCCGGAGATGAAGTAAAATAAGCTTCCGGTGAGGTAGCTCCGGAGCCATGTTTGGAGGAAACGTGGTAAAGGCTCCCATAGATTCGCCGGCAAGAGGTGACTCAGGACGATCCGGTTGTAAAACGTTGTCTCGTTGACGAACTGAGTAAGAAACCCATTCTCTGCCGCCATGTATCCACCGTGGGAAAGTCAAACTCTGATAATGTGTTATATGAGAGAGAGATAATTTTATATATCGCTAGATGTGTTATCTTCAACGCTTTGAGTAATTGTTTATGTTTTTTCTTTTTGGAAACACGTGTAAATGTTTATCTATGCATGCCATGTCCCTTGTTCTATAAAATCCCTATCAAACATTTATTAGTTTGTATTTATAAGACAGCATTCCCAGCTTATATTCAGCATCATGTTTTTATTATGGAAAAAAGTTTCTCAGCTACACGAAGTTTACACTAATATGGTGGAAACCATCCAATGTATAAAAATGTGTCAAGAACTACACGAAGTATATGTTAATACATGCCACATGTACGAAGTAAATGATATTATGGTGGCAACATCACAATCGGATTTAATTGTTCTTAAGTTAAGTTAATGGGGTCAATCCGTAATTTATGAAACTTAATAAACTTAATTGATTTTAATTATTAAAGTTAATAAAATTAATAAACTTAATAAACATAATATTTTGTAAAACTTAATAAAATTAATAAACTTAATAAACTTAATATTTTTTGTTAAACTTAATAAATTTATTAAACTTAATAAATTAATTTAACTTAATAAAATTATTAAACTTCATAAACTTAATAAACTTAACAAACTTAATAACTTATAAACGTAATAAGTTATTGAACTTAATATACTTAACAAACTTAATAAACGTCTTAATGATTTATTAAGTTTACTACATCTTATTAAGTTTAATAAATCTTATTAAGTTTATAAAGTTTATTAAGTTTTTAAAAATTATTATGTTTAATAAGCTAGAATCCTAAAACTAATAAACAAAATAATTTAATAAATTTATTAAGTTTAATAAGTTTAATAATTTATTAAATTATTATGTTTATTAAGTTTGCTAAGTATATTAAGTTTAATAACTTATTAAGTTTATAAGTTATTAAGTTTGTTAAGTTTATGAAGTTTAATAATTTTATTAAGTTTAATAATTTATTAAGTTTAATAATTTTTTTACGTTTTTTTTAAAATATTATGTTTATTATGTTTATTAATTTTATCAAATTTTTTAAAAATATTACGTTTATTAATTTTATCACATTTTTAAAAAATATTATGTTTATTAAGTTTATTATTTTATTAACTTTAATAATTAAAATTAATTAATTTTGTTAAGTTTCTTAAATTACGGATTGACCTCATTAACTTAATTTAAGATCAATTAAACTCGATTGTGATGTTGCCACCATAATATCATTTACTTCGTACATGTGGCATGTATTAACATATTACTTCGTGTAGTTCTTGACACATTTTTATACATTGGATGGTTTCCACCATATTCGTGTAAACTTCGTGTAGCTAAGAAACTTTTTTCCTTTTATTATTAGAGTCAAAGCCATTGTTTGGTTAGTAGTTCTGTAACAGAACTTCAGTTGAAAGGATTACTAACGTTATTGCAGCAAGTGTAGAATTTGTTCTCTGGGGTCATTTTCAGAATATGTATACACTTTAGGAGGCCACACTGCATTTATAATCTTTCCTTTGATCGATTGTCAATCATGCTGGTGACTAATTAAACAAGGAAGAAAGAAGAACTCGTTAGTTAATAGCAATGGCAGGTCCAAGGCTAGCCAGTTGACTCTACCCCAGCTATATATTTGGGCTTCGCCGATCATTATACATATTTGTGCTTATTTCACCGTTAAAGAAGTTTAGAGCATATTAACCACTAATATTTTGAAGGCTATAGGTTTATGTTTCATCTCACTATACAAGGACTGCCCCTGAGCTAAACCGGTCACTGTTTAACATCTTTTGTTAAGGAAAGTCAAAAACATTTGTTTCAAATTTATGAATTAAACTAGACACGAATGTACAGATAATGTTTCTAAACAAAATAATTGGAAAGGTTGAGAGACACATGAACAAGAAGAAGAATAAGTAAAAAAGTTGAAACAGATGTACTTCTTCCCAGTGTTTTTCTTTTTTATAAACACCGTCCCAGTGTTTTATTATATTTACAAATTAAACCTTGTACTTCTATAGAGGATAATTCACCCCCCACATCACTAGGTTTTTATGTAAACAAATCACATCATAATTAAATATAAGATACAAGCACTTAAGATTTTGATTCGTAATTAAATACATGATTACTTTTACATCAAATCTGTGATTAAAAATTGTATAGTAATTTTTTTAAGAATAGATATTAACTAAAAATATTGAATCTAGAATTACTAATTGGAATAGTGGTAGTGTGGTCTTTGTATACTTAGGGATTGTAATCAATTATAGTTTGAAGTAATTTGATTTTAATGAGTTTTTAGATAATTTTATATGAAGAGTAGAGTGTAATATGATCTTTGTAAAACCACTTTAAAATCTTACTTAAAATAATGAAATATATACTTTATTTTTTAATTAAAAATTTCATTCAGATACTGTAAATTCAATTAAAATTTTAAATTATCTTCATTTCTTATGTTTTTTTCAAATTTAAATTTGTTTTGTTATTTTTAACCTTTTTCTCTTTTGGTGTTTTTAAGCTTTCATACCATAACTGACAAAAACAAACTATGCCTCTTAGATAGTGTTATATCTTTAGCAACCTCATAATAAAAGTATAAATAGTTTTACTATCTTCTACAATTTAAAACTTTGGCTATATTTTAAATTAATCGTTAGAAAAAGATGTGGTAAGATGAGTCCGCAAATCATAAACAAACAAAAAAAGCCTAAGGGTACAAGGCACATAGACTGTTTTTGAAATGTAATGAGTAGTCTGTATTAAATCATTGAAAGAGACGGGCTCCTCTTTTTTTTGGTAAAATACACACATACACAAATACTTTAGCTTAAAGATTACAAGAAAGATCTGAAACTTTGCAGCAAATAGTGCAAGTCATGTTTCTTATTCAAACAAAGTGATTAAAACGCTTTTAAGACACACGAGAACAACAACAACACATGCATGCAAAAAAAAAAAACAACAACACATGCATGCAAGGGAAAACAGATGTGAACGTTGAACATTGATCTCACTTTGTTTTCTGATCCAAGCCGTCATTTTTGGCTACAGGAACCTCTAGGGTGTCAAACAACCAATCCATCCAAATGGTATAATGACCATAGTTATGCTTGTTTGTAACATGGTGTATGGTATGGTACCCTGCACCCATTATAGGCCAGACGTTACCATGGATGCAGTCATGGATGCTCGCTGTCCATATCCCTTCAAAAAACAAAAGACTCAGATGCGTTATGAGATGGACCGGCACTATGAACAGAGCTATCACGTGAGGCACAGCTTGAAGTTATTGGTATAGATAATGACTTACAACTCTGTTTTCGGATAATGGAGGCGAGTTTATTGCCTTAAAAAGTTTTCTTTCTTCTCATGGAATCTCTCATCTCACCACTCCTCCACACACCCCGGAACACAATGGCATAGCAGAACGACGCAACAGGCACATCGTGGAAACAGGCTTGGCTCTCCTCACTCATGCAAAGATTCCAGCCACGTACTGGTCCTATGCGTTCTCAGCCGCAGTCTACTTGATCAACCGGCTCACAACACCGACGTTAAACAATACTTCGCCCTACCAGAAGCTATTCAACTTGGAGCCTAACTACCTCAAGCTCAAAACCTTCGGCTGTCTCTGCTACCCATGGCTCAAGCCATATGGTCAAAACAAGTTTAGTCCCAAATCTGCGCCATGTGTGTTCTTGGGTTACTCTCTTACACAGAGTGCTTTCTTGTGTCTTGACGTTGCTCACTCTCGAGTTTATGTCTCAAGACATGTGGAGTTTAATGAGTTGGTATTTCCTTTTTCCTCTCTCTCCTCAAACACTCCTCCTGTTTTAACATCTTTATCATCTTCTTCTGATACTTCAACAGCTTCTTTAGTTCCTGTTTTTAATCGGCCACATGTACAAGCGTTAACTCCGTGTCCAGCTCCTTCTCCTGCAAACGTCTCACCACCTGCTACACCAACTCAACAACAGTCTCCACCACCGGTCATTGCTGATGCCACACCTCAACACACGGAGACTTCTGAGCAACAGCCAGTACCAAATACTCACAATATGGTCACTCGCGGCAAGAACAACATTCACAAACCCAACCCACGATATGGTCTCACTGCAGTCCTAACTGAAGTGGAGCCTGAGTCACATGTTCAAGCATTAAAAGATGAAAAGTGGCGTCGCTCTATGAGTGATGAATATGATGCTTTTATCCGTAATGACTCTTTTGACTTGGTTGACAGGTCTGAAGCTTCTAATATTGTTGGCTCTAAATGGGTTTACAGAATCAAACGATGGCCTGATGGAACTCCGCGATGTCACAAATCATGGCTGGTGGCTAAAGGCTATCACCAACGACCTGGAGTGGACTACCATGAGACATTTAGTCCTGTGATCAAACATGTAACCATCAGAGTTGTCATTGGTACTGCTGTCTCTCGGAACTGGCCTTTGATGCAGCTCGATGTTAACAATGCCTTCCTACAAGGACCCCTTGAAGAGGAAGTGTATATGCTACAACCACCAGGGCTCATTGACAAAGACAAACCAAATCACGTCCTCAAACTCAAAAAGGCGGTTTATGGGCTTAAGCAAGCTCCTCGTGCTTGGTACAACGCACTCAAAGATTGTCTACTTCAATTCGGTTTCAAGAATTCACTTGCTGATACTTCTCTGTTCATTCTCCGCACATCGACTTATGTCATCTACATCCTCATTTATGTCGATGACATTATCATCACCGGCTCCTCTGCTGCAGAAATCAGACGCACCACAGACCTTCTTCCCTCCAAGTTCTCTCTCAAAGACCTTGGCGAACTCTCATATTTCTTGGGAATGGAAGCAACAAGAACATCATCTGGTTTATATCTCACTCAGACGAAGTACATCACGGATCTTCTTCAACGTGCAAAGATGGCTAATTCTAAACCAGTAGCAACGCCTATGTCCTCTACCGAACCTCTCACTTTGATGTCTGGTGACAAACTTGAAGATCCGTCTGAGTATCGAACAATTATTGGGAGCCTGCAATATCTTGGTCTCACAAGACCAGACATAGCATTCTCTGTCAATAGATTGTCTCAATACATGCACCAACCTACTACAACCCACTGGGAAGCCGCTAAGCGCATCCTTCGATATCTTGCAGGAACTGCAGACAAAGGTATCTTTTTCTCAGCCTCATCTCCGTCATCCCTCCATGCCTACACCGATGCAGATTGGGCAGGAGACAAGGATGATTATGTCTCTACGGGAGCTTATATTGTCTATTTCGGGAAGCACCCCATTTCGTGGTCTGCACGCAAGCAAGGGAGTGTCTCAAGATCGTCCACTGAAGCTGAATATCGTGCGGTTTCAGATGCTGCAGCTGAGGTACAATGGATCACTAATCTTATGACTGAACTTGGCCTTCGTTCATCCGTCACTCCAACCATATATTGTGACAACATTGGTGCCACTTACCTAGCTGCGAATCCTGTTTTTCATTCTCGAATGAAGCACTTGGCTCTCGACTATCACTTTGTTCGCGAGCAGGTCCAACGCAAAGTACTGCGAGTATCTCATGTTTGCTCTGCTGATCAGCTTGCCGATGCATTAACCAAGCCTCTACCACGGGGTCGCTTCATCAGTTTAGTTTCCAAGATTGGACTCTGTAGCCGACGTCCATCTTGAGGGGGCATATTGGTATAGATAATGACTTATCTCATATAGTCATTATCCTAAACCTTTGTGTAGTTATCTTTCTTTATGTTTAGACTTATCTACACATCAACCTCTGTATATATACGAATGTAATACATCAATGAAAGTCATCAGTTAATATTAAACCTATAGAAGTATCCCGTCCAACGGAGATAACGCGAGCCCTGGAAACAAAACAAAAACGCTTTTTAGACAAAGTTATATGTATACAGCATTCTCGAATTTGAAGTCAAAGTACTATAGGATTGAAAGAGAGTTTGACTTACCAGCAAATGGAGAGAGTATGTTTTGCTTGTTGTACATATGGTGGTCGACATGGAGATTCTTATAGACAAATTTAATGTCATGAAGCCCTCTGTGAATCCAATACATCCCAAACTCAACCAAAATAAGATAGAGAGCGATGTTACCCAAACAGACGAACCAATTGACTTGGTCAAGTGTAGAGTAACATCTGGTCCAACCACGCTCGACCATATACTCAGAGACAGTTGGGAGAAGTGTGTACCAAGGTATTGCCTTCATTGACACATATATTTGCATACTCATTGCCTTTTTTGTAGGAATTGAATCTGAAGTAAATTTGTCGATTCATTTAAAAAAATACAAATTATAAGAAAGAAAAAGCTATATGATCCTCAGCTTTTTCATTTTTTGGAGGTGTTAAAATATAAGATTCCAAATTAGGAATTTCATAATATATAAGGAATTTTGACCAATCACTAATTGATTTTTAGAAACTTAGCAAAATTTTCCAACATAAATGAAAACAACAAAAGCAGGAGATTAAAAAAAGATCACCTGTAGAAATTATTTCATCCTGAGCATAGCACGGATTACTATCTAGTGTAAGATATAAATGACTTGGACGAATCAATTATTGCCATCTGATTTTAAAATTGGAAATTCGGAAACTAAAATAAAATCACCTTCGTGGATGTAAACATTGCGTTTTAGGTAATAGATGTAGAAGCACCAGAGGAAGAGGAAGGCGGAGATGAAGTAAAGTAAGCTTCCGGTGAGGTAGTTCCGGAGCCATGCCTGGAGGAAACGTGGTAAAGGCTCCCATAGATGCGCCGGCAAGAGGTGACTCAGGATGATCCGGTTGTAAAACATTGTCTCGTCGTCGAACTGAGTAAGAAACCCATTCTCTGCCGCCATTTGAAAGTCACAAACTCTAATAATGCTTTTGTGAGAGAGACAGAGAAACTTCTTGCTCTACATATAATAGCTAGAATGATAGATTTTAACGTTTTGTGTAATTTTGTTCCTTGCTCAATAAACATGTCCGGCTCAAAGTGTTGGTACTGTGCTAATAATTAAATAGGTCCATAATTCTTTTGCTCAAAATAATGATAAAGAATCTAGAGTGCAGTAAAGTGACTTTACTAGGTTGCATGAAAGTTCGTCATACGTCCCCTTCCTCCTTCCTGCTTCAGAATCGGAAACGGAAGCTTCTAGAATCTCTCAGAAATTCGATTCTATTGCGCTACCGAAAAAACATTTTTAAAAACACATTAAAAACTTACGATTTTGTGTTGGAATCACACTTCCGTTTTAAAAGATTCAATGTCATAAGTAAATAAAAATATAAGAAACATTATTTTTGTTTTTATATAATAGTGAAATAGAGAATAAAATATACAAATATTAAAACTAATATTATAAAAGTTATGTTTATGCATTGAGGATTTATTAAATATATATCATATATATATTCAAATAGACTGTGTTAATTATTTACGAAATATTTTTTTAAAAAAATAGTATAATAATATCTTATAAACTTGATTTATGTATATTTTCATGGTTTTAACATAAAATCATTTAAAATTATTATAAATGAATAAATTTTTTATTTTAAATTTGATTCTAATAATTTCTAGTTATATTTGTAATTTTTTATGTTTTAATATGTGTATATATACATATATAAATATACGATTTTAACACGTTTTTGCTTTCTAATTTTTTAAAAAATCTCGCTTCTACTTTCCATATGATTCCGCATATCCGCTTCCATTTCTATGTAATATAGGTAATGTGTCAACATTTTTGGGTTGAAATTTAAAAATATTAGGCTCTGAATGGTAGGATAACTGCAATACAGTTCAATTAATAACAAAAAGAATAGGGCTTTTTGCAAATTTGACTCAAAACTCCAAGTCAAACACAAAACTAACCTCTTCTTTTGACTCATCTTGTTTTTGTCCTATTCACCCCACATCTTCATTTTATTTACGAAAATGCCATTTATATGTTTTTTGAATTTTTTTTCGAAAATGGCATTTTTACTCTCTCAACCTCATCATCTTCAAGTATTTACAACATTGCCATTGCCATGAATACTCCCAACAACCTTGTACAACCCAACAACCTTGTACAACCAAGGTTTGAAGCTTTTAATGCACTTAAAATCGATATCCATACTCTCTTTCTCAATTGTTATGAACTAAAAACAACATCTCCTTCACTTTGTCTCCATGTTCATACCAAAAACCCAAGCTTTTGATAGCAAATTTTTTATAGTTGATAGAGCCATTTAAGCATACATTTCTTGGTGGGTTACTTTCGTTTGATGTTCTGGGTGGTTGGAGAAGACTCTGTGTGCAAAGAAAGTCATCTCACCTAGTTTAAGGTACGAAATTGAATTTTTTTTCCAGATCTGTTCGCCTAGAAGACTTA